GTCTGGGAACGGCTGGAAAGTGTGCAGCGCCGTGCGACACGGATCATCTGTGGCACAGCGGACGGCTCGTACGATGCACGCCTGGTGTGGGTGCGCTTGGTCGGCGACCCCCCACGAGAGGCGACGGGCCTCACGGATGCGCGCACTGTGCCGGATGCTCGATGGACCGCTTTCCGGGATCTCGTTGTACTCCGCAGTACGGACAAGCAAAAGAACTGGGCAGCCTGAGCCTCTCCGTGGGAGGACCACCCGCCACTGCTAGCTCTTCTCTCGCCAACTGGCTTTGAGCTCGTGACGACCAGTGACTTGCACCATTATTTTTCTTGTTGCTGTGTGTGCTTGTTTTGTTTTACCCTACTGAGTCCCCTTTCTCCTGTCTCATGCACTGTAGGGGGCGGCCTGCTAGTAGGCGCATATGCATAAGGGTTATCACCTTGTCTAGCCTTGCACGTCGTCGCATACACGTCAAATCCGTGTGCAAATAAATTACAATCGCAGTTACAATTACAGAAACAAAAACAATGGCGACAAGTATTCCTGCACAACTATACACTGCATTGACCCTTAAATAAGGTGCAGCGAAGGCTACAGCCACTAGACCGCAGCTTTGCAGCGTGAGACGGCCCTTTGGACATGAGTGAGCGAAGGGCACGTGGTGCATGCATCCTGCTTCGTGGGCGCTTGCTCACTGGGGCCATTCGAAAGCTTTTGAGCTTGCTCGTGCTGCATGCAGGTGTAGCTCTACCAAAACTGAAGCGGCAATTGAGGAGACTGTGCATTCCGTTTACTATTTCTGATTACTGGGAGGCCATGCTCCGTCCATTTTAATTACATATTCATTAGTTAATTCAGAAATTACTTCAGTAAAACCAAACTGCTACATCCATTCAATGCAGCCCTTTACACACAAAAGTACAATACTTCCCAGACCATAGTCTGCAGACTATACATGCCTAAAAGTTAATATTTCACTCTGCAGACTATCTGCCGGTGCAGAGGATACAATACATTTTGTGTCTTTCGTTCTAGATATTTTACAATACAATATTTACAATATGTTTTGCTTTGCTTAAGTGAGAAACAGGTCATACTGTCAGTGTGTCGTCCAGGCCTTTGATGTCTTGGGGTTGACAGGCTGTTAGCTTAAGTGCCTCCAGGCAATCTTTGTTTGTCAAGCTTAATCCTCATAAGCTCTGTGATTCACCACGACAAGCGGGCTCAAAAGGACCTCTCCCCATAATGTGGACCGTCTAAGGAAACAGATATTCAGTTTGAATTTGCCCCTGTGGACTATACACCGAGTGGGGACTGTATAAGAAAAACACTTTTTTCGAGCCAAAACTAACCCTTGTGGGCTTCACGCCGGGTGCGGACGAAGAAATATTGTAGCGGTTTATTTCCTTAGGGCATTGAGACATTACAGAGTGGAGTGGACAGAAATATCTAATTGCAAACAAACACATTAAAAACTAAATCAAAATATTGTTAACAAGACCCCGAATTCATTATCACACTGCATCTTTAAATTCGGTGCAATCAGCTATGCCAGCGATAAGTACGGGGAGATGATTCTTGCCTAGTGATGACATAGGCGGGAATGACTGACAATAGGTGGAGGTGTGACAAAGGGGGATGTCATTGTGGTGGTGGATCTTGTGAAATAAATACAGGCGAGATATGTTTCTGCAGACAGAAAGGTGTGTTGTGCTCTCAAGTTGCGGGATGTTTTTGTAACATTTTATAAGTTATCACAGATGCATCTCCTTAATGTTACCTTTGAAACATAGGCTCTTTGTTTCTGGATTATATTGCCCTAACATTTCTGCAGCAACATTTCAGTAACATACGTAAAAGTAGTGTAACGTTGCATCTCACTTGTCTAACATTGTGTTGATGTTTCGAAATAATGTTTTTGCAATATGGTTTTAGTAATATTGTCGTTACATTGTTACACGTTGCATAACGTTGCACAACATTAGCCACGTTGCAGTAACGTTCCTGCAACATCTCGTGCTACTAGGGAAGCTCCTATCGTACAGTGGCCAATGTGACTGTCGGTCCCCGAGAGCGATTGCGCTCTGGGGAAAAGACAACACTACGAAAGTATGACGAAAAGTACGTATATCTATAATGAAAGTTTAGCATAAAAAAAAAAGATAGGCAAAATCGAAAAAAAAAACAAAAAACGCTATCCTTTATTTTACTGTTTAAATATATTACGGTTCCTGTAGAAACTGCCCTCTAAGTGGCGCGCTGAGATGAGCGCTAGAAGTTTTCGAGCTCGCAACGGCGCAGCTCCGTACACTTAACAGTTGTCGCAAGTCTCGGCTTTGACTGCATTCAAGTTGATCGAAAAGCGATTTCTGTGCCCGTGAAGCATCACTTCCAGCTGAGTGGATATCCGCTCTACAGAGATTAATTCAAGACGGCAATTGCAGCTTTGCGCGAACAGCACAAATAGAAAAACGAACACTACAATATAGATACTGGCTACGAAGGGCCATGCGGGAAAACAAACTCATGCCTTGGAACCACATTGGAGCGGCTCGATTTATTGGCTTTCAAATAATTATGGCATGATCGAGCGTCTTCTTTTTAATAAGAGATTCATCACCTGCGCCATTAAAAATAGCCTCAGATGTATGACATTGCTAGAAAAAAATGAACATGTTCGGAATATTTTTTTTTGCTTAGGGAGTCACCGAAAAATTCCGTACGTTCAAAACGACCACTATAAAAGACGGAAACGCAGGGCTCGGTAGTAGTGATCGGGGTAGTGTGCTGTTGTATTGATGTTTGTATGTGCGATGCGTGTGTATGCGTTCAATATATGTTGACCTGATGTTTGTAGTGTGCGCAACGTGTCTACATGTGTGAGAGATTCCGAAGAAAAGGAAACGCAATTGTGGCGTAAAGAAATAAAAATATTTTTTTGTGAAACATGAATTGGGCGGTACCTAGCGCTACCTAGCCTAGCTACGTGCGATTACTCTGCTTGACCCTGCCATCTGGTGGCAAGCGATTTAACATCCTTTTACGCTACGCGGCTACGCCATAATTTCGTGTTACCGTGCTGAGATAAGCCAAGAGGTTGCTTCGGATTTGCTTTTTTTTTTTTGAGAGCGGCTTTTGGTTTTGCGGGCGAATGATTTTCACTCCTCCGTGATGTGCGGTTGACGCAACGGTTGACGAAGGAATTGTGGCTCGAGGAATAGCAAAGGTAGGACATAAAGTGCGCGAACTGAGTGCCGGTTGTCTCCGTTGAACATCGCAGTGCTGACGATAAGAAGACTGAGTGACTGCATGCTTTCGAAACGTAAGTTTCTTTACCTGCAGGGGCAAAGAAACTTCGGAAATAAATACAGTTCGCGGAAAGCTCGTGTTACGTTTTTATTTCCTGCTCCTCTCGCTTCGTGCAATAGACTTAGTGTTCTCGTTAAGCCTTACCGAGCTCGATTTGCTCGATTCGTGGCCGCCATAATGAGATGCAGTCGACGGAGGAACTTTTCCTCCCCTGCTTAAGGGACGAAAGTTTCTCCCTTTCTGAAGGAACATATGTGTCAAGAGCGTTCCTCCCTTTAGGGAGGAATATACTGACCCTTTTTTCTAAGAGTGTACCGTCTTTCACTAAATGGGCTATTAGGTTTTAACTCTCTACAACATTCTTTTCGTGATTTTGTGATAGGGATAGTAATAATTATATTTATTTTAGCTCAAGAAAACCAATGCGCCTTAGAAAGGCAAGCTGCCAGTACATTGAAGGCCTGCGGGACAAAGACTAGTGATAATGCTTTAATACTATGCAGATAAAAGACAAACAACAAAACGATTGATGATGGGTCTTGTGTAGTTGGTGGACGAGGGTGAAAGCTGATGTTGCAGGTTACGACCTCATTTTTGTTTTTGATTTTTGTGAGAATTTCTGTGTGATGGCCTTGAAAGGGAACCAGGGTTTCGGAACACAGTTGGCCATCGATTGTGCTCGCTTTGTCTCTAGTTGGGCGAGGGGAGGCTCCGCAGATGGTAGGGTTAAGTTTTTCAAGGTGTCCGTTGAAGTTCTGCTGGCAGTTAGACAGAGCGCTGAGTATTAGGTCAAGCTTCAAAGTGATGAATTCACTTAAACGCTCATTGTGATGCATGATTTTTTTTTTAAACATGCCTTATGTTATGATCTTTAGGGTGTTAGTTGTTTCTGTTTTTCTTTTGTATCTGCTATTTTCTTCCGGTTTTCATAAAGAGTGAACCACCTAAAACGAAGGACCATGATCTAGCACAACACATCCCATATCTTTTAAAAATATGGCTTCATTAGCGAGAAGGTCGGTTGAACGGGAACACAGAGCAGGTTGGCGCAGATGACTTGAAACACAAAAGAATGAAACGCATAGGGACGGACACACAAAAACAGGACAGTTCTTTCAACGTTGAAAGAACTGTCCGGTCTGTGTGTGTCCGTCGCTATGTGTTTTATTTTTTCGTGGTTCAAGTCAAAGTGAGCTTTCCCACTCTATATTCGTTTGAAAACAAAGACAAGTTCGGCATTGAATTTTTTTTCTTGTTTTAACAACAGGCTTTTTTTTCGGTAGGAAAACTTCAAAGATCGAGCGCAAAAAATAATATATTTTCTGAAATTGGTGTTACCATTAAACAGGTAACGATGTTTTGATATTTTGAGTCCCCTTTTATGCAATAACATTTCAAAAAATCTTTAGAACGCAGATCTACAGGATACCAATTCAAACACAACTACATTTCAAATATTAGTGTTTGTTTCATTTCAGGTTTATTGGATTTAGTGCAAAACCCCAAACTGTATTGTATGTTCGGATATTGGTTCAGGGCTGATTAAATTAAAGTTATTGTCGCCGGGTGCTCACGAACGTAATTATATATCTGATATTGGTAATACTTCAACGCCGTTTGCTCTTTGCTGAAAATTTTGAAACAGCAAACACGTAGTATACTTCAGGTGCATTCTTACCGTCTCGCTCATTGATCAGCTGCAGGTAAAGACCACGTTGCACTTCATGTGGACGTGGGCGACTCCACCTCTGTCGCTACCCTAATGAACAACATCGGCTCTCAATCCCGAACTCCACTGAGTATCGTGGTTACCTGCGCTGGTGTGGCCGAGTGGCACTCTGTCGTGGACACAACGGAGCAAGATTACGACGCACAGATGCGAGTAAACCTCAAGGTTGGTTGTACTTTGTATACCTACAATAAGGAGGGCACATCGTGAAGGCAGTAATATTTATTGAAACGTTACCGATATGTCAATAGGTTTACTTAAACATAGCTAATCGAATATCGAGAAAACCCTCGGGTAACAAAAATACAACTTGTCACATTTCAAAAGGCAAGTTAATTTCAGACTTTATGGTGCTGTATTTTATGCGTGAATAATATATTTTTTATTGCTTTGCATTAGAAGCAAATCTCGATCCAACTTACTAAACTTCCAAAATCAAACGAGACAGATTCCCATGTCTAATTGGAGGCTTCCAACGTGTACCAAAATTGTTTCTTTTGTTGTAAAATTTATTGAACATGTATGAAACTTTATATAACTATCTAGAGGACCTGATAAAAATAATTCAGGAAAGCATTTAAGAACTGGGCTGTGCTTTAAAGGGCCCCTGAAAAGAAAAAAAAATTTTTTTTTTTAAACAATCTGGTTGGGACACGCGTGCCAAAAAATGAATTTTACGCGAAAAAAAAAAATTTAGAGCAATATTGACGGCGAGAGATTTATTTGAAAATTTGCGCGCAAATTCCAGGTCATTCAGCTCGGCTTCTCATTGGTAACCATGGTCATTCAAATCGGCTTCTCATTGGCCAATAGAATGAGTGACAGCTTAGATGTTGGTTCTAAAATCTTCGTGATCTCTTGAAATCGCCTTTTGAATTACATATTTTTAGGTTTAAGAAACAATCCATCGAATGAATGTCGCAATTGTTTACAAACGTTTTACAAACTCGTAACTTCCGTTCGGATACTACAACAAAACAACAAACAAAAGCTTCGCCATTTTGTTTTCTGTCGTGGTCGCCGTCTTCGCGTTTCGCGTTCTGAAGAGGGCTTGTTGCTTGTGTTAGTTAGTCAGTCATAGTAAGTACTTAGGAAGTGGCGCGGGGTGACAGGTTTCTGTTTTTCTGCTCTTCTTTGCGCGATTCGTGTGTCCGGTTTACCTTATCTTTTGTTTGTTTTCTGGCGCGCGCCAGTGCCAATGTTTGTTTAGATGTCGGTTCCCGTGGTTCCCGTAAAGAGTTTAGTGAGGCACGCGGCACCGCACTCAACGTTTAATAATAAAAAAAATCAGTTACCAATGCGTGTCCTCGCGGCGGCTTGAAGGATCGTGCGGCTCGAACGAACTCGTCGAGGCGCCCGCTTCGCCGCGGCGAAGTGGGTGCCTCGCGAGCGGTTGTCTCGCGGCGATCGGAGCGGACACCTTCCGGCTGGCGAGGCGTGTCCTCGTACGGGCGAAGGCCCAGCTGCTGGCAGCGTTGAAGCAACCGACGCTTCAGGTCGGGGTCCACCGCGACGACTATGTACTGTGTGTACGACCACGGTGACCACGGTACGTGCACGATACGACGCGGTATGTCGTTCGATCGGCAGACAGCCGGCCAGGGGCTGTGTTCCAAATCTCCAAATGAATCCGAGTTTCTCCGGCGGATCGTCTCACGTGACAGCACAGATTGAAAAACGCTGTACGCGGGTAGGTTTTAGAACGCCAAGAGTACAAAACCCTCACCCTGGGGTAAGATCGAGTCAATTTTGGAACACGGCCAGGAAGTAGCAAAAGCAATGGCTCTCGTGCGGGGCGCAGCCAAGCCAGGAAAGCAGCCAAGCCGATCCACTACGAAGAGGCGGGGACTACCTCTCCTCCACGCGCCCGAGATGCCGAGAGAGAGAAAAGTGGAAAGGAGGTGACTGCCGACTAAATTGCGTCTGGCGCAGCCAATATTGCTCTGAGAAAACTTTTTTTTCGCGTAAAATTCATTTTTCGACACGCGTGTCTCAACCAGACTGTTTTTGAAAAACTTTTTTCTTCTTTTCAGGGGCCCTTTAATGACACACGTAGGCTCGTCATGATCCTAAAGATAAATGTTTTGTGTAAACGTTTAGAGCAGTGTTATACGGAACGCGTTCCTTTGAGGAGGAACGAAGGAACGCCGCCGTTCCATTTTGCATCGGTAGAACTGGAACGGGAACTCGTTACATTTTTCCTGGTACGAAAAAAGGAACGGCGTTCCTTTTTTTGTCCGGTAAGGTAATTTGTATTTTATTTCTAAGCCGGGAATTCTAAAAGTATGAAAGGAACATCTTTATGAAATGCGGGATCTCGTTAACTTTTTGGTTACTTATTTTAGCAATTATTTTGTGTGGTCCTCGCTTGGTAACAGTCAGGTGCAGAAGGGCTATTGGATATTGATTCTTTTTGCAGTGCCCGAAACTGCAATAAAAAAAAACCTTTTAGTTAAAGGAAAAGACAGAAAAGGAGGGACGTTTCAAACTCAGATAATTTTTTTGCTTCCACAAATCGTCATACACCCAGATATCTAATGCCGACTACAGCCATCACCGAACATCCACGAAGAGATCTTCAGTTACAACAAAAGAAAAGGTTACCAGATATCGAACGCATCCCTGTATCCCGAACATTGGTCACTTAAAAGATAACTAAAAATAACCTTTATTCTTTTTTCCTTGTCCCTCAGCTTCACACTGAACAATGAATCCAACCTTCAGGAAGAAAAACTTGTAGTTTTCAAGACTGAACTTCCAAAAGTTCTAACCTAGCGCTCTTCTTCACTTGCCGATCTTGCGGACAGCGACATAAACAAGCAACTGTGGTGTTAGGTTCGAAGAAAGGACTTTGTTAGATTGAAATGTGTGAGGTTATTGTAAAACACTCGTGCAATGTGGAGTAAAAGTACATTTGGCTCGTATGAATCGCCCACCATAAACATGAATATGGTTAAAAGCTGTGATTTTTAAAGGTGAATATATCAACAAATAAAACCCTGCTTCCGCTTGTTTTCCACTCCTGTTGCTCTTCCATCACGGCACTCAAATTCGTATGTTCCCATTTGATGGGATAGATAAAAACAAACTTTCCTCAATTTAACCAATGGTAATCAGCAAAATACAAATGTAACATATGTGTAACAATACGTTACATTTTTTAATTTAACGGGAATGAGTTACTTTTTCACGAATGGAACTTGTAACGGGGACGCGTTCCAAAAATCAGAAGGAACGAGGAACGAGATTTCGTTCCTTTTATTGAGAAACGTGTACAACACTGGTTTAGAATTACTGGAGCCATAAAAAACTTTTTTGTTTATGCTCTCGTATTCCACATTGTGTGTGCGTGCATTGCGATATGTTTGGCGTACGTCGAACGGAGAGGCTTTTTCTCATGCGTTTGTATAAATACGTAAACAAAAGCTTCCCCTCTACCAAATGCACTGAAATTCTGTCCCTCATTTGTGCGCATCATCAGGGATACTTGTTTTAATATGAATTTTCGTGTTCAGAAATTGCTCTGAAATAAAGCGGCTGATACACGACAACAATTTCACGCTCTGACGAACACGCCTTAAACAATTAGTAATATAATGTTTGTCAAGTTCTAAAGAGCCGTCCAATATCTATGTAAAACAAAACGACAGTCGCAGGTTATAATACGTGCCGTGTCCCACAATTTTCATTTCATCTATGATTAGAAGCGCCATAAGTACGCATAGCATGTTTTATGACCCATGGCGTCATTACAATTAATTATTTATTACTTGTATAGAGTAACTTGATAATTGCGAGCTAATATCGTCAAGTACAAACCATTTTTTAGTGCAGTTCAAATAGTCTGCGGATATTATATTTTGACATTGCTGGAAAACGGCACTCACACTCCTTTAATGTTTCATCAAAATTTATAACGTAGGACGTATAGCCAGACATTTTATGTCAAATTTGATTTTGTTGCTTGCAGTCTCGCAATTAAGATGTACGTAACGCAACCAATATAAGATTAGTTCCTTAATAATAAAATTTTTCTCATTGCCGTGTTTGAAATGTCCCTGATAACCTGACAACTATTTTACTGTATTTAATAGAGTAACTTAACATGTAGTCTTATTTGTTCTTCCCCCTGGAGGAAAAGGGCGATATAAGGGATAATAAAAGTAAGAAAACAAAATAAAACTGGCAAACTTCGCACATGGCAGCTATACATAATCATTTGCCGTTTCCGCGAAACACCCCAGGTTATCATTATCTAAAAATGCAGAGGAATGAACTTTAGTGTGGCTAATTTTTTTTTTCTGCGCATAAATATTAATTTTTTTTTAAAATTTTGTTTCAATGATGAGGGTTGTGAAAATTCAATGAGGGAGGAAATGCTGAGATAATCGTCATTGGTGGGCAAACTTATAATCACAAAATAAAAATTAAATTGTAATAATCATTGAAAGATTAACTTTAAACACATTAGTATCCACCGGCAGGAAGCTATAAGCCTTTGCTCATCTTCCTCTAAAATAAAGTAGTATACTCTCTTAATTATTATTTTTTTTAATAAACAACGGACATTGAATAGGTTTCTGATAATTCATCGCACTAAACAAACTCAGTTTTCACCTTTCCAACGCTGGCACATCGTTGAATGTATTAGCTCCAGTAAAAGTAGTCTGGGCATGTTAGAATCATATCACGGCAAAAGTTATTCGTTCTGTCTAAGATTCCCTTTTTTTCACCAAAAGCCATTCGTTTTTCCTGAAGGGGACCTTTCTAGTAAACCAAGCCGCTGTCAAGGCCATGTTGGAGAGCAAAGTGCCTCAGGCCGCTATCGTAAACATAGCCAGCATTGTGGGCAAGTGTGGTTTTCCTGGCCTCGCCACCGCCGCAGCCTCCAAGGGCGGCGTCATAGCGTTCACCAAGTCCCTGGCCCAAGAATTGACCGGAACGAGCATCCGCGTGAACGTTCTTCTGCCGGGAGGAACGCACGCTCCCCTACTGGGTGTTATTCCTGAGGACGCACAGAAAGCAGCTCTCGCTACGTGTCCCATGAGGAGGTTCGCGCAACCCGAAGAAGTGGCCGAAGTGGCCAGATATCTGTGCACCTCTGGCAGCTCCTACATTACAGGCACCTGCGTGGAGGTCGCCGGTGGAATGGGCGCTTGAGACACGCGTACGACCAGCGGAAAAGAGCTTCGCTTTTTCTGTTGACTTAATAAAACTGCGATATATGTGTTGCTTTTATCGTGGTGTAACCTACCCTACCGAAGTTTGTAACCTACCCTACCGAAAAACCCAGTATAAGTTTACAGAAAAAATCGTAAGGGTGCAGGCGAGCTGGTGAACATTAATCATGTTGAATTAACCTGAGACTGGGGTAGAGAAGAAGCATCGAAACGTAGAAGGGACAGAAAATACACAGGACGACGTCTCAAACTCAGCTAACTTGTTTATTTGGTCCACTTTCTTGTATAGTCTCAATCTCAAGGTCATTTCCACCAACGTCCTTTTGGTGTTTTTTGTTGGTGGAAATGACCTTGAGATTGAGACTATAAAAGAAAGTGGACCAAATAAACCAATTAGCCGAGTTTGAGACGTCGTCCTGTCTATTTTCTGTCCCTTCTACGTTTCGATGCTTCTCTACCCCAGTCTCAGGTTAATTCAACATGGCTAATAAGTTAACACTATGTGGATTATGTAGCTTTCAGGAAACTCGAAATCCAGATCGCAGACGAAAGATTAATATCTGAAAACCTGAAATCCAGTTTTATCCCAGATAGATTTTCAGGTCCATAATACAGGTAGCGAAATGCAGTACTGGATTTTTCGGTAGGGTATTTTATGCAGATTTGAACAATTGCCTGATATAGCGATGTTCCTGAATGCGATGAAGGTGTGAGAGCACTTTATTATTTTGAAAGGGTAGTACTTTCTATATTCGGGTCGCCTCTAAGCCGACAGTGCGGTGGAAGCTAACGGTTCGATGGATCGATGACGCGTCGATCTTACTCAACGGCATTTCGTCCCCCGCAAAACCTGCGTGCAAAGGGGGGGGGGGGGGTAAGGTAATGAATAGCAGGCGGTTCATTAGTGCGACGAGCGCCTCAATTTCACCGCACTGCCAGCTTTGGGTGAACGGAGCATAGTTGGTGCAGGCCTTTTAATAGCATAAACCTTTAGAACGTCCGTTTAACAAAATTGCAAGGTATGTAAATAGAAGGGCAGTTTCCGGACCTTAAACTATAAACTCACTGAATTCATGTTTCTTTGTATATTACAGACTGTAAACACATGCGAATTTACTTTGGTTGCATTGATTAAAGTGAACGCAGGGCCAGCTTTCTGGGACCCACTGTTTTAGTTCCTAATTCTCACAACACGGGGGGGGGGGGGCATATCAAGCTTGTGCAAGATAAACGAAGAATTCCAAGCGCGCGACCGCTATCTGAACCTCCTCCCCTGTGCTTCTCTCTGTCCTCGCACTCTTTCCCCGTTTGCGTCTGGCTATCGCTTTCTGAGATCGAATTCTGCATAACCTATCATCGGGATTCAAGCATAGAAGAAAAATTTTCTCGTCGCGACCAGTCCTCGAGCTTTTCAATTATGCGCAACAAAAATGCGTGAACCTCGTTTTTGATTTAGTACTAAGCTGAATATAAGCGTGAACTAATGTTGTAAGACCCGAACAGTGCCCATTTCAGATTATACTATATATTTCATGAACAGTATAGGAACAGACTTCGACGCTTTTATTGCGCGCGCTTCCGAGTCCTAGACTCGTTCTTGTTACCGACGAGAACTCGAACAAAACGCTCATATCCCAACCTATGCGCTATATGCATGGTTGAAAGTACAGAAGCCCCGAGCAAAGGAAGACATAAGATTTAGTGGCACCTTTCAAATATCTTTTCATTACAACCAAAATAGATTACCCAAGCTGAGCATAGTGCACAGTAACGAAAAAGGTGTAGTGGATACACCCACAGGGAGTGTAAGTGCTGCCACAAATACTACACCCATAAAAGTGTACAAGTACACCCCCAAGACGAGGGCGCATACATAAATCCTTTTTGAGGGTGCGTATGTGCACCCTTTTATACACCTTCAGCAATCGGGGGTGCACCCCATAATGGGTTGTGTTACTACTCCTTTCTTACACCCTAACTGTCGTTTCAGTGTGCATGTACACCCAATGTAAGGTGTACTAGTATTCCCTTTTCTACACCCACACAATTTTTTGAGAGTTAAGATACAACCACCAGCAGGGTTTACTATTACACTAATGTTCACATCCACCCCGCACATAGGGAACAAATATACACCCCAACAGAGTTTACTATTACACCATTTTTTTACACCGACCCCGCTCATAGGAAACATGGATACACCTCATTCAATGGTGTACCATTACACCTCTTTGTGCACCCACCTCAAGGAAACCGTAAGAAATGTACGCGCCCAGGTGGGTGCAAAAAGGCAGACACCAGACACAAGGGATTGTTTTCAAATCTCCTGAAGTTTAATAGACAGCCTATTCCGTGAACGAGTACAAAATTGCTAGCAATCGGTGGCATGTGAAGATATACAGCGGGGTTGTTACACAGCTGAGAAGATTACTGACTAAACAAAACCCGGAATGATTCTTAGGTAGTCTTTAATCCCCCAGTTGCCGGCAGAATCATTTACCCGAAATTCTGCCGGTAGTTGCCACTCTTTGGCGATACAATCCCTTCATTGAACGACGTTTCATCGACACGCGATGTTTCATATAGACAGCTCAGATTAGCTTACCTAGATTAACATCTCTTTTTTTTTTAATGAGTTGCTTCAGACTATATGGGCGAAGTGATATGCACGGGTGGAACAGGTGGGGCAAAATTTTTGTAATAAGCCGCCGCAGACTGTCCCCACGAAGCGACGTGAACGGGTGAGCTGGGTCGGTGAGCACGCTCCTCGGAGACACGCTCGCGACGAAATGTCCCTACAGCGTACATTTAGCGTAACGAGTGACGGTGAAACGTATCTACAAAACGTGTACCAACGAAAAGGTGTCCATGAAACGCGTTTCCAAAAAGTGCCTGGACAATAACAAAATGAGTATTCTACCCTCAGTAATCACACGATTGTAGACAGCTAATGGCAGGCGACTGCCGATAGAATTTCGGAGAAATTATTTTTCCGGCTTCTAGGAAATAGATACCGCCTAATTTTAGAGGTAATCGGAAAAAAAACGGTCAGTTGCTGCAAAGGAGTAGGTTGCAGCGCACTTACGATGAAAATACCGGGCTTGAAATATGTAATCCTAGATATACGTCGAAACGGGCAGTGCAGAACAACCACGAAAACACAAAAACGAAAAGAAAGGAGTTTGTGAAGATTCAACACGATGTGGCAGAAGCAGTCATTTGCCAAACCGAACACTAAACGCATCAGATGAATTCCTTGGGCTTTTTTGAAGAAATCGCGTATTGCCGACGTACGCGTAGGGCTTTTCAAGCACTGGTAGCGTTGGTACACTCGAATACGTTGTCCCGGACGAAATCTACGGCAGCCCACACGGGTCAAAGCACAGCACACAAGAAACTAGGCTGGAAAGCAGACCTTATGGGATCGGAAAGGGCTACTACGTCATCCGTGAAACTTTTACCACATGAGCACGCTCCTGCCGTTACCCGCGTCCAAACAGCAGAGTCAAGGGGTAAAAAAGCCCCCGGTTCATTGGTCCGGCGACTGCGTACCTTCTTATACGCTTTCAGCACAGGGAGAGAAAAAAAAAGAAGGGAGTAGGAAAATAGCAGCCCCTTCAAGGCCAAAACCGGCTGCCCTCGCAAACGCTTGTCTTCAAGGTTATCCCAACAATGAACACGAGAGGATTTGTCCCTTATATCCTCTTGGAAGTTCGACCCAAAGGTCATAGTGCAGTAGGTGCTATTCGTGGCCTTGGCCTTCATGCAGGTGCAATGCACTGCCTTCTTTCTACCTTGCAGTTGTAGTCACGTGATTATATCCGGAGACCCGATTGGCCTAAATCAAGCGTAACGTCTACTCTACTGTCAGTACCGAGAGAACAGAACAGCTCGATACCTCCTAAGAAACCGATTAACCCAAAAGTGACCCCCAAGGGGAAATTGAAGCACAAGCTGATCGGTGCGCGTGGCTAGCGTGGCGGTGCACTGATATACCTACACTCTAAAAAAGTGCATGCGTCTACTTTCACAAACAATACTCGAAGAGCCAATCACCGCAACTTACGGAGGCAGCTCAGTGAATTACGATGCCGAAACATATTTTTAGACCAAAAAACGCAGTCTCAGTTGTGACATTAAGCAATGCAAGCGGGACGTTTTGGATTGCTTAATGTCACAACTCAGACTGCGTCATTTGGTCTAATCATATGTTTCGGCTTTGTCATTCGCTCAGCTGGCTGCGTACGTTGCGGTGATTCGCTCTCCAAGTGTTGTGCGTGCAAGTAGACGCACAGAGTTTTTAGAGTGGTTTTTAAGAGAGAGGAGGATGCTTATTGTCCGTGTACAATTACACCCGCTGGGCAACGAAGGGGGCATCTTTCAAGAAAAGGGTGCATGTGCGCCTGAAACACCCGACTGCACCCTTTTTTATTAGAGTGTGAGTCGGTGCTAAAGTACGCAGCGAGGAATACCGTCCTTAGCCGGCGTTCTATGAGTGACTCAGTATATAATCCTGAAGGGAACAGCATCCAGCTTTGTTACGTCCTACCACCAATAAAACTTGCATTCATAAAAGTGTGTTTTGCGTGCACAATAGCCGATGTGGTAGTCGTTTCCACCTTGAGTTTTGCAAAGTCTTTATAAATATAGATGGACTCAGCGAGAGGACCGAAGCTTTTCTGTGTTACACTGACAAGGCTAGGGTAGCTTTAAAACGCTAACAAACCAAGACGGCACGGCTTGTGGGGTCATGCATTGCGAGATGCCGGCATGGCAACCATCGCTAGGCATGGTGACGATTCCATCAGCAGCGTGAGGCTGCAGAGTTGATAGAACGTACAACTTCGCAGATTAACACAGATTATAGATCTTTCGAGCAATTTCCTTCAGCTAGAGAAAATAAAGAGATAAATTTTATTTACAACGACACTTAGTTCACTTCATCTCTATGTCTACTGCAGTGATCAGGCTGCTACCATGGCAATGTACACAAGGTCGCGGCCATCTGTACAACGCCCCGGTCAATTTCGTTTTGGTGGCAGCGGAATCACTTAAGCGGGAACCAAGCTTTGTTAAGGCGGCGGTCCGACGGCCGACATCTTTATTCTTGATCCGTTTTAGTTTCTTGCGTTGGTTAGAAAGTAACCGCAGAGCTGTCGTTTTGCGCGCATTTTTCTAATATGGGTGGGTAAATTACAACCAAACTTTATTGCCATAATTAATTTACATAATCAGAAAATTAGAAAATTATAAATCGCATAGGGGATCGCAGATTTCTCGACTACTAATAACGTTACGATTGGCTTTTTTTTTCATTCATATTGTCAGGGCTGTGGGCTTGTTTCGGTATAAAGCCCGTTTTCCGATTTAAATATTAAAATAGGTTTAAAAAATCAAACTTCTTTGTTAAAATAATCTTTTAATTGTTGAATCTTGTTTTAAAAAAATTGAAGACGCAAAAAAAAAAAAAACTCTTTATACGAAACAAGCCGACAGCCGTGACAATATGAATGAAAAATATGGTAATCTTAACCTCATAAGAAAACAAGAAATCTGGAATCCGGTGCGCGATTTCTAAATTTCTAATTTTCTGATCACGTAAATTAGTTCCGTCAATAAAGTTTTGTTGTAATTAGAAAAATGTGTGCAAAACGTCAGCTCTGTAGCTATTTTCTAAACACCGTAAAAAAATGAAACGTTAAACACCAACAATAAAGATGGTGAAAGTGGGACTGCCGTCTTAACGTGTCCTGAATATGACCTATAACTTTCTGCCATGGAATACAGTTCGTCGCGCCTGTGCCCAGACCCACGACGAAACAGTCTGGCACATCGTACTGGAATGTGCAGGAGTACAATTGCCTCGGACACAAAACAATGGCTCTAGGCCGAGGTTTTCGGCTTGACTATTCCAATGAAGAACCCCACACCAATGAGCCAAGCTAGGGTGCAAAAAATAAACATCCATAACACTAAAATTAGACGACCTCCAGCGGCTCCCTGAGGCCTCCAGTAGTGGCCTCAAAAAGACGACTGGAAGACAAGTGGAGGAACGCCCGACCTGGGTAAAATTAAGAGCTTAAAAATTTCCAGGCTTTGGCATAAAGACAGTTTTGCCCGCCCGATTCAAAGTAAACATATATCCCTCCCCTCGTCATTATCATCAGCACCAATATGTTGGAAACGTTTGGAGTCAATATTTGTCAGTGACGTCTTATGCTCGTGAATACAGCTTGTTGGTATGGCTAAGGGCATCCCATACGCACTCTATGCTTTACATGCGATAGCACTTTATGGACATTTTAATCATATTTAGGAATTCGCGCGTGGTGCCATCTAAAAGATTTAGATAACCTTGATCGTGCTGGCAAAGTCTGGGAAAGCACATAATGTGTTCAGTTCATTCAAATGCATGCAGTGCATGGTCACGGAGAATGAATGGTGGTCGCGGGACCCCACCTATTATGGCCACGGGACATCTGGTCACGATTGGTCAACTATTTCCCGCGTTGTCCCATTTTAGACGGGAGTCCGCAAACCATCGTCACGTGACCACCCATAGATGATGACAATGTAATGCAACGGATCATGGTCACGTGAGAAGATGACCAAAGTTGGTCCCCCATTTCCAGCATGTAACGAAGGGGACGGGCCTCACGGCCAATGCTCACGCGAACACCCCCGATGATGTTCAGGGAATCTCACAGATTATGGCCGTTTGACCATGTGACAACCATTGGCCCACTATGTACAACATGTGTCTAGGCGGACGGAGCATCTCAGACATGGTCAAGTAACCACACATGAGTGATGGTCACATGACCCGACGGATTACGGGCACGTGGCTATTTGACCACCCTTTCCCGCTATTTCCAGCATATGACGAGTTGGATGGGACCCCTCAAAAAATAGACGCGTGACCGCCCATGGACAATTGCTACTTGCAGCACGAATCATGGTCAGATGACTATGTGACCACAATTTCCTTGCTCTTTTCATAACGGTCCAAATTGACAATCTAACCTGAGAGTTCAGCGTTACGGTCCGACCTTACGATTCAGCTTGACGATCCACTCTAACGGTCCAGAGTGACAATCCCGCGTTACAGTTCAGCATGACGGTTCAACCTGTCGTGAAGGTGCCAAAAATATTTGGAAACTTAATTATAAAAACATTATGTGTTAAAAAAAGCCTGCGGTCAAAAATGTGCTGTTAGAAAAAATTAGGCCATTTACTCTGTTGTCGGAAACGCCCGTTATTTCCAACAAAGAATGCGTTTCTTGTTGTTTAAAATATCCTGAAAAAAAAAAAAGAAGAAAGAGAAGAGAAAAAAAGGATGCTTAAAATTTACTGTAATGCCGAATTAGAGCGCAGCTCTTCAGGACGAGGAGGGGAGAATACGGAGGAAAGGTGTATTACTCACCTTCTTCTCTTTTACTCCCTCCCATTGAGCGGGAAATTTTCGCTAAATTTCCCGCTAAATTTAGGGGGGAAATTTTTCCGCAAGATTTAGCGAGGAATTTTTCTCCCAAATTTAGCGGTGGAATTTTTTCTTCAGAATTTAGCGGCAAACTTTTTCTGCCATATTTAGCGGGAAATTGACCAGCTATAGTTAGGAGAAAATGTTCCGGTAAATTGAGCGGGGAAATTGTTCCGCTGAATTTGGCGGGGAATTTTTTCCGCAAGACTTAGCGAGGAAGTTTTTCCGTTAAATTTAGCAGGGGAATTTTTCCGCTAGATTTAGCGGGGAAATTTGTTCACTAAATTTAGCGGGAAATTTTTTCCGTTCAGTTTAGCGGGGAACTTTTCCGATTTTTTTCTTATAAATATAGCGGGCAATTTTTCTGCCAGAATTAGTGGAGAAATTTGTCCGCTAAATTTAGCGGGGAAATTTTTCAACTAAGAAATTTCAACGCTGAATTTAGCTGAAACATTTCTCCGCCAAATTTAGCGGGAAATATTCCCGCTCTATTCAAGCGCCGCGTGACATCACGAGGGTGACGTCAGACGTGACGTCACGTGTGACGTAATTATGGGAACGTCCCATAATGCAAGGCCCGGTTACGGCGACGGCGACGCCGACACCGACGGCGACGGTGACGACGATGCCGCTCAAGCCGGAAATGGGCGCCTAAGAGCTGGGCTCTAAAAAAAAAAAAAAAAAAAAAAAACAGTGAGGTCAGCTGGGTGCCGTCCCGGGAGGGGGAGGGGGGAGTTTCAGCAACGACTCGGCGCAAAACAAAGAAAATGTCTTTTTAAAGGGGTACTCCGGCCACACTTTGACGGTCACCGATTTTAACAAAAATTGCACCATGTAATAAAGACTTGTTCCTGAACAGGCTGTCCAAATTGCTCATCAAAATATTTGTTTTCTGAAGAGAAAACGAATTTTGAAATGTGTGCGCGCACGCTCATTTCTCCGGGCGATGCTCTGCTGGCAACACTGAGCGGGAGCACGCGGGGGATGCTGAGAGAGTGGCACGTGACGTAACACATGGGACAGAAGCTCCGCGTCTGTTCCTCTTTGCCCGGCGTGTGTGTATTCTGACTATTCTCGGCGTAATTCTACGCCGTTTACGATTTTTCTTAGTGTGATGTTGTGATGGGGGTGATTGGTGCTGTGCTGTGGGGCGCTCCAACACCTCAAGGAAGTGTAGTAAGGTGACATTTCACCAGTTCCCGAAGGACAAGTCGCTCCGAGAGAGGTGGACCCGAGCGGTACGACGTAAGGACTGGGTCCCTAACAACAACAGCCGGGTGTGTTCGGATCATTTCACACCGGATTCTCACGATGTAAGCGTTTCTCCGAGAGAGTCGTTCGGACTGGCCAGGGCAGGGCAGCGTAAGAAACTGCGAGCGTGTGCCGTGCCGACCGAATCCGCGTATGCACCTCGACGGTCACGGATTGAGCGTGGAGCTCTCGCAAAATGGAGAAGGACGGAGGTAAGATTGCTTTTATATGATTAATTTGGTGCAAGCTTTTTGCCGTTGACCACCATGAAGCACATTTCAAATTATTCGGGACGACGTGAATGATAGCTGGCGATCATGATCGCGTTACCCAAAACGATGCTTCCATTGAATGAGCGCCTCCTGCGCTTCGATGGAAGCGTATTCATGGAGGCATGCTTTTGGTTGGAGCGCACACCCCTACCAAAAGCTGTAAACTGCACTTTAAGTTATAGTTTTCATCAAGGTGAAGCCAAAGTACAATCAGCACTTTCGAACAAGCGACTTCGGAGCTTTGGAGCGTCACCTCTTATACGGAGCTCAAAATGAAATTGCTCGGCGAGCGATTGCCCACATTGGGGTCTGTGGACTTAGTGACCACTGTGTAACTTTTAGAACGCTTGCGCCCTGCGTTCTCCTGCGGGAGGCTGTTATTTTTACCTTTATTGCATTAGTTTGCAGAAATACATTCGACACAAGACTGGCTGAAGGAGTCATCCATGTTTTGTGTGCTTGTCACTTTTGATTAGGCCCCCTCGTTTCAAATGAGAAACAGAAATCGAAACACCAACAAAGCATGATGCGGCGAAAAGAAATATAATTGCTCATTGATAAAAATAGAGAGCAACCGAAGTCATCACTATTGACAGAAACTTGACTTGTTTACAAGTCATCTATGGAGTGATGGTATTGCTGCACCGAACTGCATCAATAGACTAACCCTGCTACATGCTGCTACAATTTACCAAAATGTGACGAATTTGTGCTAACGCTGTGCTAGAAGCCCATTTTTTCACTGCATCGTTAGGATTTGGGTGTGGGTACAATGCCAGATCATTGCAGTAGGATGGTGCCTATTTTTGATGATTTTTAATATTGCTTTGGATTATGTACTGTTAGATTTGACCTCATATCGAACACAATCAGGAGTCAGAAGTTTTTCAACACATATAACTCTAATTTCTTGAACTTTGGGTTGCTTTGCTAACTCCTGCAACTGTGCTTCACAATATTCTCTGGTACACTGCAGTGAAGCAACCATAATGTGGGCAGAGTGCTTTAGCGTGCTGTGCTTCGCTGCAGCGACGGTGTGTTGGAGAGAACACCTTTTGAGTGGGGTATTTAAAACTACCCCACTCAGAAGGTGCTCTAAAATGACTCGAGCCAATCACATCACTGCTCTTACTATGTTACAATGAACCACACTATTTTTACAGCATATGTCGAACATGCTCCCTTTAAAACCCTTATTCGTGAAATTAAAAAAAAGGAACAAGTGTGGCCCCGATAGTGTTTTATTCTAATTTCAGCTAGTGGAGGATGCTTTGAGGGGAACGTCAAGTAGCTGTCAAGTATCCACAGCAGATGCAACTCCATCAACAGCCTGTGAGGCAATTGATCCTCACAATCTCACACTGCGTTCCACGCAACTTGCTTCAGTCGAGGTAAGGGCATTTTTGATCCGAATGAAAAAATATGAAAGCCGTTTACAAATCCCTGTAACGCCGAATTGAAGAGCAGCTCTTGAGGAGGAGTAGGGAAGGGTACTGCGGGGGGTCACGTCACCTGCAGGTAGTCACGTGACCCCGGGGGGTCACGTGATCTCGGGGGAGGGGGTCACGTGACCTCAGGGGGAGGGGGGGGACAACGTGACCTGGGGGGTCACGTGACCTCGGGGGGGGGGTCACGTGACCCCCCCCTCCCGGTTACGCCGACGCCGACGCCGACGCCGCTCAGGCTGGAAATGGGCCCCCAAGAGCTGCGCTTTAAAAAGTAAGGACTGATTAAACTTAATGTTTCTAAGGCAACGACATCTGGCTAAAAATGTTCTAAACCTGACATCTCTGCAGCCCCCAAGCGACCCCGACAATGGAGATTTGTGCATGAGCAACCCTGCAGCAATGGACGAGAGCTCTAGTTTGGATGGCGACACCGGACTGCTCCTCGTTGCACGAATCAACCCAAGTAGGTGGACTGTGTTACTAATTCAGCCATTGATAGCTGATAGTCAATATAGATTTTGAAGTACTGTCCACTCCAATGTACAGTCCCCCGCAATATGAAAGACCCACTGGGAACGTGTGGCCGAGGCAGTGGCTGGCGGGGGCGCTGCGAGCGCTCCGGGCAATTCAATTCTGCTTCAAGGGGAGGACCCTCACTCGGGACTCAGCACAAACTGATAAGCGCGCTGCGCTTTAGCCGAGCCTCGAGTGAGCGTCCTCCCCTCGAAGCAGAATAAAACTCATCGGAGCGCTCGCAACACCCCCCGCCAGTCAACGCCTCGGCCACGCGCTTCCAGTGGGTCTTTCATATTGCGGGGGACTGTACTTGAACCAACACTATCACTATTCACAGGAACTTGGCATGCAAGCAAGTTGTCTATTGTCGTGTCTGAAGGGATTGCACTACTTTTGCAGCAAATATTTAAATATGCCTTTAGAACACTTAGCAGCAAATTTAATAATTAGAGTCTAGACTTATTCGTGTTTTTCTTATAATCTCAGACAGTGGAGGATGCTCCAAGGGAAACAGCACCAGGATTCGGGCACGCATCTCCAGGGGATATGGATCTAACAACCCATGAACCAAACCAACTTTCTGATCCAACAGCCTGTTCCACATCATGTGATTCAGTCCAGGTTAGTGTATATAGCATCTCGGATGCCTGTAAGAGAAGTAAGGTGAGACAAAATGTTAGGCTTTCGAGGTAATAGCAGTTATTTAAAAATGCTCTAAACCCGACATCTCTGCAGCCTCCAACTGACCTCGACGATAAAAGGTCGTGGGTTGATTGTTGAGAGCTCAGTGACAAAAGTGCGACTGCCTCACGACAAACGTACTGCTCCTCATCATTGCTAAAGTCGGCTCAGGTAGGTAGTTGTGTACCTTCACATGAAAACAGAGAGGAGTATTTGACCGAACTACGACAAAATACAGAGAAAGTGCCCACTTCGTTCAAGTGCCCACTATTAACATTTCCCAAAGTGGGGTGGGCACTCCCCCAGTATTTTGCAGTAAGTCTTTTCATGATAACAGCTGCTGGCTAAAATTGCTCGAAATTTCTGACGTCTGCAGCTGGAGCTCAGTTTTCCCGACAACAAATGTGGGCTAGCCGATCATCCAGTGCCAGTGGACGCCTCAAGTTTGGGTGGCTACCCAGACTGCTCCTCAGTGCATGAGTCACCGCAGGTTGGTGGACTATGTAACTACTAATTTGGCCACACAAAAGAGTCATTACACATTTTAAAGTACCCTCCAATCTGTAGTCTGCTTAAAGCATCAATCACATTCCAGATCTGTGAAGGTGTGTTCAGTTGTCTATATTTCTTTTTCTAGACAGAGTACCACCTCCAGGGAACATCAGAGCAAGCACCATCCCCAAATAGGGCAAACTTTGGGTGCCAAACAAACATATGGGTTGGCCGAAACAAGGGAACGCAAACAGTCTTTTGGGTCAGGAGCACCTGTAAGCGAAGTTCAGCAGTACTTAGTTGTCAGAAGGGATCCACACAACTTTCCAGGAGCACTTTTTTAATATTGAATACTTTTTAGCTACACAGACAAAAGTGGCGTGCCAAGATATGGAGACGCAGACAGATGACGCATCGGATGATGGATGTCGCCCACCACTGCCAGCTCCGTCTACACAGCGCACCATAGTCAATAAGTATGTGCAACATGATACATACGCATTTACCTCAAGAAAAAAAAAAGGAAATTTTGCTCAGTGTTCATACAGTGTGCGAAGTAGTTTTTACAAGATTTAGTTGTCAGAGGAATCAGCAATGCTTTTTGGCATTTGAAACCTGCACGTCCTGATAAGATAAGAGATATCTAAAATTCACCTACATATATCTTCATTCTCTACGTAAAGGTGGAAATTAGTAATGCTCCGCGAGAAGCCAGACTATTTTTATTACGGTTCTTGAGAGGAAAACAAGTATAGTTCTAGACTGCCACTTAAAGTGGCTTTAGCTTTCAGGGCTGACGAAACGTTTTGTGATTAGTTTACAGCACGGATGACTGTGAGTCAGGTTCCGAAAGCAGGGATGATACGTAAGTAACTTGAAAATTTTTTACATTTTGTTGCCTTACTAAAATCTAGATACCTTTTTTCTTTTACAGTTGCAGAGATGATCTTGATCCTTTGTATGTCATGGAGGAAGAGGACGGTAGCGACAGCAGCTCTGAAGAGTAATATTTCGCTTGCATTCAAATGTCCTATCTACTTTAGGGAAGTGCAATATAAGGCCTTAGTTATCACTGAACTCTGCCTCGTAAATAAAATAAAATTTTTACAAACCGATATGCAAATACATGGTTTCATCCCAAAGGCAGTACAACAATCCCTGTGTAATAGTCAACATAAATCAAGTGATAAAAGCTTGTCTGTTCTCATATGAATGGAAGTACTGTATACATCAACTAATGTTTACGGACCAACTGGTGTGCCCCTAGTAGCCGCCAGTGGCACAGTGCACATGTGATAGGCTGTGGGCCAAAAGTGTAACCATTTCATATAAAACAAAGTGAAGGCGGTAATGTTGGCTAGTTTTTTGCTCATAACTCTAAGAATAAACTTCAGAAAAACAAAGATAAGGCAAACAAAAAAGAGCACGGAACGAGCACTGTTTACAATTGACATTCATCAACAAATCATTGGAATGCTTTGATGATGGACCCAGTTTAAGTTTATTTGTCTTTCTCACAATGTCCGACTGCTTCAAATGTTTTGGCAGAACGCGCAAGAATCGCTAATCCACAAAATGTTGCGTGATTAATGTGACGTAGGGCGATTGCATTCGTCACGGACATCAGCGACGGTAAACATCGCCTTTCACGTACTGTTTACACTGGGCTGATTTATTCGTGCGCCCTGCAGCCTTACATTTCTTTTAAAACCTACAATTACTTTGCATTATCTGAGCAGAGTCGTAGTACAATTCCGTGCCATTGCCGTTTGAATGAGAAGACACTTGGAATGTAGTCTTATCATTGTGATGGTATCAATGGTTATTAATGCAAATGAACAATAATTCTTTCGACAAGTCTACGAGAACTCAGTGAAGTGCTTCTGACACAGTCACTGGGGGGGGGGGGGGAAGCAAGCGGCTTTTCTTTAGTAAGGTGTCTACCTGTGTCCTCTGACGAATCATGCAAAAGTACCTTTCGGATTGCAATGCCTGTCTTGCTTCTTTGCCCGAAGCCGCACTGCTGCATCCTGACTTAGGATACTTGAGTTGGTGTGTACACTGATGGATTTACATGCACTATTAACTCGACATCTTCGTTAGTCGTACCCAACTATAAAGCTGCTCCTCTGTTCAGAGCCAGAAATAATGTTGCCTAGAAACATTTTCATGCTGTCCGTGCTCTAGAAGTTGCAGTTGCTTATTGGCTAGCAACGTCTAATTTCTTATGTTTCAGCACTTCCCATCAGCAAGAGCATGAGGGAACTGGAGACCATGCAGAGAAAAAGTATGTCGTCTTCCACCACTGTTTAATGACGCTTCTGGAACGGTGTGGACAGTGCGGTTCTAGAGACTGCAAAGTAGTCATGAACTATGCGGGGACCCTCGTGACGGCACACATTACGTGCCCCAAGAAGCACAAGGAGACATGGCGCAGCCAACCCCTTGTTGAAGGGAAGGCATTATTTAACATCCTTTTGTGCTCAGCCATTTTGTTTTCTGGTAGTTTCTCCACTAAGGTGTTGCGGCTGCTCTCGTTGATAGGAGTACAGACGCTGCAGAAGTCGATGCTCTTCGACTTCCAAAGGCTCTACTTGTGGCCAGCAGTTCATGAGGTTTGTGCTTGCAAAGTAAAAGAAAAGCTTTTATTGAAGGGGTTACTTTTTTATTAGGTCTGGAAATCGGAGCAGGACCTCATGATCCAGGCAACACAAGGGGAAAAGCTGTGTCTCGCCGGGGACAGCAGAGTGGACTCCCCTGGACATTCGGCTGACTTCGGCACATACACTCTCATGGACGTTACCCACAATTGGGTCTTCCACATCGAGCTCGTCAAGGTATATTACACTGCACTGTGTAAAGCTTAAAAATACTTCCATCCGTGTCTGTGAACTTTTTTGGACATTCTAAAATGAAATCCCAAGAGCTAGGGATAGTACCTTTTATCAGCAGCATGCCAGGTTAACACAAAGCTTACAAGTACAGATAGATAGATATATGGTGTCACAAAAGAAAATTTACACTGTCTTTTTTTACCGCAAAAATAAACTAGGCATCGCCGAATGCTCACTCTCCGACCAAAGGTAGAGCTAGAGGTCACAACCAGATGCCGAAGTTTCAGCCCGATCCTATAACTTAATCAAAAGTTATAAGTGATTTTCTGAAAATTTCAATGGGAAAATGCAGACCAATTTTGCCTGTTTTCGGTTCCTGGTGCCACAGAGGCACCAGAAACCGAAAACTCCATCGGCCGCCATTTTTCCATTGAAATTTTCAGAAAATCACTTATAGCTTTTGATTAATTTATCCGATCGAGCTGAAACTTTGGCATCTGGTTGTGACCCCTAGCGCTTCCTTTGGCCGCAGAGTGAGCATTCGGCGATGCCTAGTTTATTTTTGCGGTAAAAAAGACAGTGTAAATTTTCTTTTTTGACACCCTGTAGATGATAGTCGGTGTACATCCAGTGACCTATAGTTGGTGACAGGTGAAGAAATCAGTGGCACAGTAAGGAGGCTCTTTCAGAAAGCATCATTCACATGCTTGAAGTGCCCCTGCTATCAAAGAAATAGTTCTCTAGCAATGGCGCAACTTTTTCACAAGCTAACATCTTGTAGGCCACCGTATTTGCTCGAGTAATAGTCACTTCTTATGAACAAGGCCCTTGTGTCTACTTTTCTGCAGTGCACGCATACAGCCAATCACCGCATTCTGCATAAAAACTCGGCAAATAAAGTCTAGAACATAATTTTCCGTAAAAATGTGATCCGAGCATATAGCAATTTCCCGTGAAGACATTGTCTCTATCCCGTAAATCGCTGTCATCTTTTCACCGATCGCGTTGGTTTGCTATCCCCGTGCTCCGCGGGAAAGCAGACCCACAGGCCTTGTTCATAAGTGTGACTATTACTAGAGCAGATACTATGTCAGTCACTCGGGCAAGTCAAAGCTGCAGCTGAGAAGCTTTCTGTTGATTAAACTGGATGGCGTCGTCTGCCCCTGACTTGTATGGCTCGGTAAGAGATGGGTGACAGCAGCACACTGGATTATTTTGTTCCATGGCGCCTCGATAAGCGGTAGAATGGGGACATTCATTGATTACTTGACCTGCCACACCATTGATCAGTATGACGAGGCTTGACAAAGGTCACATTTTGCTAAATAATACATAGAGAACTGCAAGCAAGTTTTTCAATATTTCTGCAATTCAGTCAACAGAGGTCTCCTGAAGCAATCGAATGGAGAAGGAAGGGCTGGTCAGGGCGCTCAAATCGCTCCAAGAACAAGGAGTCGAGGTTGGCACAATCGTAACTGACCGCCACCGTGAGGTAAATGCCTACCTGCGGATCAACCACCCTGACGTGCAGCACCGCTTTGATGCTTGGCACTTTGAAAAGGGTAGGAGCTTGCTTAGCCTCATTTTTTTTGGTTAGGGTGTATTTTTGACGCATCAGAATTTGAGTATCATATCTTTACTCAAGCTCCAGTCTTTTTAAGTCTTTGCATTTCGGGTAACAAAAATTGTTTAGGTATCAAAAAGAAGATTGATGCAGTTTCGAGGACAAAGGCACATGAGGTGCTGCGCAAGTGGAAAAGCACCATCATCCGCCACGTTTACTGCTGTGCCCGTACCAGCGACGGTGATGGCGACCTTGTCCTTGCCAAGTGGACGTCCATCATGCGGCACGTAATAGACGTCCCCATCCACAGAGATCCTCTGCATCCAGCCTGTGCGCATGGCGACATCGGAAGCCGGAAATGGCTGGAGGAAGGCCAGCCTAGTAGAGGTACCTGCTGCTCCTATCTGTACCTAAAAATTCCTTATTTTTGTACAGGCACAGAAACCTTCAGGCGACTGGAGTCTGTACTCATGCCCGCCCTCCTGCTCAGAGACATCCCCAGGATCTCACCTAAGGAGCAGACATACGCACTAGAATCCTTCCATGGTATCCTGGTCCATTTCGCACCAAGGTCGAGAAAATTCAAGTATGAGGGAATGCTGGCACGGTAAGCAAGTGGGCTCATTAGGGTCCTCGTACAAAATAGTTGTAACATATATATAGCTAGCTCTGGCACCTCAAGCGCATATGTCAAGATATCACATATAGCAACTTTGTTGGTATGTTTTTGTTCTTTTTGAGTTTGTGCTATTGGGAAAAATTAAGCAGGAACAAATTCCTGAAAGAATTGGCAGTTCTTATTTTTTATATTGTTTATCCAAGCACAAGTGACGAGGACGCGTCATCTTGCCCCGAAAAACTGATATTCCGGCGCATAATCGCAAAGAAGAAAACAAAATAATTGCCGATCTGCAGCCGCGTGTAGATGTTAACGGAAATTATGTGTGACGTGCTCTGGGGGATACACAGAAGTGAACAAAACCTGTCCCCCTCCACTGCTGCACTCGCCGTCAGCCCCGTGGCGAACTATCTTTTGTGTCGATTGCTCACCGCGACCTTCGACGATGCTAGTCCTTTAAAAGTCTATGATCGCGGAGGAAGCGGCTGGGATTTCTGAAGAGAGAACGCAAGGGTGCATCACGTGATCCCCCAGAGTATGTTACCCGAAAGGCGACGATGAAAATTGAAAGGCACTTTGACATTCGATTTGTTTTATTTTTTTTTACATAAAAACTAGCGCTCACAAGAAGGTACAGTTTTCTGTTCTTCGTTCCATGGGTGACACAGATTAATTTCCGCAGTTAATTGGCCAAAGTCTGAAAATCGTTGTACCGCCCATGTAAGGCTTGTCGCACACTTGTGCTTGACGAAGAAAAACTGAGGCTACGTTTACATGGATGCGACAGCAGCGCATCGGATCCAGTTAGCGAATCGGATCCACTTCAACCACTAAGTTTACATGGATTCGGATCGACCAGCAGCGGCACCTCGTGTCGAAGGATCACAACGCAAATCTCGTGACCTTCAGATTGTTTTCGAGGTGTCCGGTTTGCCTACCGGCAGGCGAAGCAAAGCTCCCGTAATCCCTCGCTCGAGCACTCGATTAGATCCGCTAGCGTATACATGGAGAATCTCGATTCGGATTGACCATCTCAAACCACCCCGTCCAAGCGGATCGGATTGGATCCGATCCGATCCGATCTGAGTTGTTTACATGGACCGATTCGATTCGTTAACTGGATCCGATGCGCTGCAGTCGCATCCATGTAAACGTAGCCTGAGACGACCTGTTTTTAAGCCTCTTGTGATGGCTTACAACCGGCTGCGTTGCTGCGTATTTGGTCGTAAGCCGTCCTAAGAGGCTTAAAAACCGGTCTTGTCTCAGCCGGTCGGAGTCAAACGCAAGTATGTGAACGGGGCTTTATCCACCACTCGTTTTGCACAGAAGCAAAAGTTTGCAGTAATTTCATTTATTTATTTGAGGTTTATATAATGATGGCATTTTGTTAATGCCATCATTAACTGTATGGAAAGGCATTATTGGTAAGTATGGTATACTAAGTATGGAAAGGCATTATTGGTTTAAATTCTTTAGGATTCTGCACAATGTTGGCAAGCCCAATTCATTGAATTTAATTTTTATTGTAGGACCTAGATAGTGGCCATCCACTACAACTTCAATGCAGAGAGGGCCATAAAGCTGACAGCGGATGGCGAGGAACAGTATGCCCAGCGTTGGTCGAAGGCAGAGAAGCAGTGGAGGTTGATCGTCCTGAAAGAGGCAGCAGCATACGGTAAGAACGCTTGGAGTGATGTAATTAATATCAGAAAAATTGAGATCATGGGGCTATCGGGAGAAATATGGTATATATGTAGACAGTTGAGAGCACTGGATCATAAACTTGCCTCAATTGCCTTGTTGTTCCAGGCTATGTCAGCAAAGCTAATTGATGCTGTCCTGGCCTGCGTAGCACGCTGGCCTACCTACAAGTTGGCGGCACAAGCACAAGCTCCGCAACGCGTCGTGCATGCGACCCTCGCAGACAGGTGTGGACCACGACCAAGCAAGGAAGAGGCAGTGAAACGCCATCGTTCAAGGTTTTCCGTGTGATTATTTCGTGTCACGAGCTTTCCCTCATGTTGTATTCACGTAGGCCTGGTGTCTATTCCTTCTGCGTCAATTCTGTGCCGAGGAACTTGGCTTTGCGAACTGCGAACTGACATTTTTCATTCTTTAGACAAAAGCCTGCGTCTTTGAGTTCGGACAGTACTTGGTCCAGACCTGCAGCATGTTGTTTAGAACTATCTCCACTCACGATGATATCGTCAAAGTAGATACTTATGCCCTGAATGTCAGCCAAGGTTGTTTCCATTGTACGCTGCAAAGTTGCGGGTGCCGCTGATATCTCGAAAGGCAGGTATTTCACCTTGTACAAGCCCTTTATGGTGTTGATAGTCAGGACAGCTGTTGTGGCTTCAGACTATTTCAGTTGTTGGTAGGCTTGGCAGAGGTCCAACACGTCGAGAAAACGGTGCCCCCTCTCAGATTCGCCACAACTTCAGTAGTTGGTAGTGGGTAGGCTGCCTTCTCTGAAGCGGAGTTGAAAAGTCTTTTAGCAGTATTTCTACACAGAATATAACATTTTGTTCAAAGTTTTTAAATAGACATCTCTCGATTTTGTCAACTATGCATAAAATGGGCATAAAAATGAGCTGATTATGCCCTGAATGGATGTTTGCAATTTGCAGTCGGGTAATATTTTTTTTTTGCTTTGTAAATGGCATTGATTGACTCATACATGCATTGACAAGACACTTCTGTGGCACTGATTATAGCTTCTGCTATAAATATTTATGTACTCGAACTGAAATAAACGTGAGCAATAAACTTCTTTGATGGTGTCCAAAACACTTTTGGCCAATTACACACTTTGGAAACCCTAATGTGTGAAGCAGGTGTACTCACCTATGCACAAGAAAATAATTGGTACTCAGGCGATGGAAATCCTTCTCGAATCTTTCTGAGGACACATCCAGGTAACCGATGTTGCCGGGACCTTCCACAGCACCCCCATGCCCAGCTCACGATTACCCGGTACGCTGTGTATCTCAGCTTTCTAGTAAAAAATAATTTATATTAATAGGGAAAATGATAAAGCCCACTACTAGCGTATGTGTTGCGAGTCGACAAATGGAAGCCTCCAAAATGCTTTGGTACCTAGTAACTCCTCGGCATTTGTAGATACTAATTATTATAAATATCTACATATACTGAGGAGTTATTGCAACTAATACTCTTCACTTGCAAACGTAATGTAACCCCGGTTGTTTGCAAAGCGAGAACAGTACGGCGAGACCATTTTTATTACTCACATCGTCCACCCCATGCAGAATGCAATAGACGAAAATAACAATAAATGTGCCAATAAATAAATAACAATAAACGGGAAGCAAACATTTTGTTGCATAAGTCCGGTAATCTGGCTTCTAAATACATACCTATTTCCATCGCTTGTTTCGAGGTAAGTGGGCGTGAAGTGCTCCATGAGGCGAGCGTGGACCTCTAGCTGGTCTTTGTGGAGGCAGGGGAGACAAAACAACTCGTTCCGCGTGACGCACCCGTTCCGCAGGAGCGGGGCCAATTCCCCCATCTCTTGGCAACAGAGATCCTCGTCAGGCAGTGTCGGCTGACAACTGCCAAAGGAGCACCTGTATAAATAAGCGGGAATTACCAGGAGCCGATGTTAGGTTTGGGAATCTGGAAACGATTTCAATCATCACTAACGAGTCGCGAAGGATCGCTCCTGCTCTCTGACCGATCGGTTCAAACGATTCAAAACGTGGTTGAAATTATGACACTTAGCCTGTAATAGAAAAAGGCTTTCAGAAAAATGTTAGCCAGCCATACCATTCTGCTTCAGAAGCGGCATCTGGGTCCACATCGCGGCGGATGGGGAACACGCCGGCGGGTGGTTCTCTGGGTGGTGATGCCGGCGGTTCATGGGTTGTCACGCGGCCATTGACATGGTCAAAAGCTGGAAATAGAGGGTCAATGGTAGTCAGATGGTTAAGTGACCATAATTTGTGCGGTCCTGTCTCCGTCGGATATGGCGGTCAGGTGACCATGGTTCAGGGGTTCTGTCAACTTCGCGACAATGCTGTAACTAGAAGACCAATGGTGGTAAGATGGTTACGTGACCATAATTCATGGGTTTACGTGACCCTTATCTGTGACCACTCAGTGTATTCATTGGATTGAGTGAGTCCAACACGTTTTGTGCGTTAATGGGGCCCTGCAATCGTATTTAAGCGTTACCTTTTTTGCGGTCTCCACGTCTCATAGGGTTCGGGCAAGCCAACGGGCACGGAGAGAGTAACTAAATATCAGTGCATCATATTTTAACCGGACGGCGCGGAAACCTCCTCCACCGACGAGGGCGACCCGCGTTGCCGAAAGCGCGCAATATGTAACGACTTTGGTCCTGGACTTACTACTGGTCAGAGCCGCTAAAAGATTTTTTTTAGTCGAAATACAAAATATAAGTGTCGCGAACCGTTCTAATTATGTATGAAAGCAGTTTTTGAGCGGTATTTTAGATCAGAAAAGAAACAAATGAAGTTTATGAAGTACGGAGACAAGAAAAGGCTCGTCGACAAACCCGCCGCCACGCGGTGGAAAAAACGGCGCATACTAGAAAAGGCGAGTCGGATGGGGCTCCCGCGAACAGCGAGCTTAGAAAGGTCCCGGATGCACGCGGCGGCGCTGCGGTCGTATACCGGCTCCAGGATCCGACCGGTTCCGAGCGTTCCGGAGGCTTTCGGCGCGGGCTTGGCTGGCGATTTGGCCATTTGGCGGTATGGCAGCGCGAAGTAGCTACCGTTTTGAACTGATCTTCACACCGTGTTTGCTGTCGTTCGTGGCCAATGAAGTGTTATGCCAAATTAGTCCTTAATCGCGCAGCAAATGCGATGCGAGCCGCCCTGGCCGCCCGCTTCATAGAGCCTATCCAACACGTGCTTTAGTGGCGCCCTCTCGAGCCGTCCACACGGAGTGCGGCGGCCGCGAGCGCTCGATGAGCTCACTACTCCTCCTCTAGTTCACGGCCACTCAAGCCAGGACCTACGACCTCATGAAGGAGGTTATGTTTTGCTTGTTTTTGTAATTCTAATTTGCCTATAACTTTTAAAATAAATCGAAATTTGAGAAAAGAAAAGTTTCTTTAAGTTACTACGTTCACTGCGTTTAGGTTCGGTGCAAATTAAAAACCAGTCAAAAATTTGCTGCAATACCCCTTTAAGCTTTTTGTGAGCATCACCAAGCTGGCTTAAGTTTTATTGTTTTATTTTTGGAAACATCCTTTAGGGCTCCTACACGCTCGTACCAGCTATTGGGATCGGTCATCTTTGGTTATGTGAAACTCCTGGCTCCACTACCAAGGAGAGATGCCAAGGATGTCAATAAACGTGAGAATCTACGTAATCTACCCAATCTTACAAACTTCCCTGAAACAATGCTGCGCACCTACTGTTGTATTTATTTCAATAATTTTATACCATCTAGGATGCAAGAAGTATGAAAGTAGTCAACTTCATACGCTTTGCGCAAGGTACTTTTTTCCCTAAATTGTGGCAAGACCGTTGCTTAATGTATAAAACAAACACTGGTAAGCACAACATGAAACCATAAAACATGCTGGAGCCTGACGGCAGTTCTCAACAAATGTGCCAGGCACGCTGCCACGGGTGTGGCTCAACGCCCCCCCCCCCCCTTCCCCGGAAAGCTCATTTTTGGTTGGGCCTCCTCTCCCCCTCCCCCATTTATGGCGTTTTGCCATGGGCGTACGTGACTAAATGGACCTTTTTCGAGAGCGCCGTCTGGAGGTTGTCTGCGAACTACACTAGAAGAGTAGCCCAACATGCCTCCGCCCGTCATAACACGTTGGCATCGTGCCGTTGTATTGGTTTTCAGTGCTCTTTATGCACCATTCTATACCGATACTAAAAAAACGTACCGCAAAAATAAGACCAAATACCCATGAAGATTGATGCTGACAATGTTGGTGTAGCCATTTTCGCAGGGCACCACGTGCCGGCCTCCTGCGAAAATGGCGACAGCGGGAGTGTACGCATGCGCAGAAGCTTACTGGAAAACGTTCATTGTGTGCATCCTTTTGCTGGCCTCGAGAATATTTCTAGTTATATACGCTTGAACGAATTTTACTGATTTTGTGGATTTAACCGAGCTAAAACTTTACGTACATAGACAAAATCAAAGTCAAATTGATGCAATGCAAGTGTTTCTGACCCTATATAACATTTGCTTGTATTTGAAATCCAGGGCACATATTTTGATGGTAAACATCGATTTATAATATAGTCAGATTATAACCTCTACATTTTAGTGAATATGCTGTCACAAATGCACCATGCAAATATTTTTTACAGCGACGCTGTTACATGATAGGGTCTGAGAAGAAAATGCGTTCTCACATGTCGACAGAAAACTCCCCATTGGTCGTGGCAAGTATGAATAAATTAAAATAAAAAGATGGGGCAACCAGCGTCAGTCAGCCTTCCTTGGAATTATTAGATAGTGAGATCCTGACCCGTTGTTATCACCTCTAGGCATCGTCCTCGAGGCAGTCCTAGAAGTCGTCTTTGAGGTCATCCGAGAGGTCGTCCTAGGCGTCGGCCTAGACGTCGTAAGGGCAGCAGCTTCGCTGGTCCAACATCTTCACGTGGAGTGGAAGGGCTCTGCAATCTTTCAAGTTGAAGCATTTCTAGTGTGATTTAAAAATCGTGACTATCTTGGGGTTGCTGCAAGCACGAGATGCTGGGGATTTTAAGTCCCGCCGGAGAAACGCTATTCTACAAAATTATTTGCATAGTGTGCACTAGCGCTAGCGCTAAATTTAGCGCTAGCGTGTGCTAAAATTGCGTACGCTTTTCGATTCGCCCATGTAAAGGTAGCTTGGCCGGAAGCTATCTATTGCACGGCGGAGTGCTAACTTTACAGGGACAAGAAGCTGGCCGAGTAAGGAAAGTATCGTGGAATAAAGGGCGTTAATTAAAATACCGATATTTTAACTGCTGGCTGTGCTATAAGTCCACGGCTCTTATAATTCTCGGGAACATTGCGACTCTGCTTTTCAGCGGGAAGAAATTCAACATTTGGTCAAAGTGGCCAATGTGAAAAAAAAAAAAGATATCTGGCACAGGAATAAAGAGTATACCATCCTGAGGTTCAAGTAGGTATTAAACAAGGGAGTATTTTTGCCCTATAGATATCTCGGGCAACTTAAGGAATAGTAGTTTGGCTGAAGTTCTCATTTTACAGCGTTTCCTGAGAATAGCCAAGAGAGTGCAAGGGAAGCATGTCTCGGAATGCTGGGGATGACTGTAGTATTGCTGGGCAAGTTAGGGTATTTTGTTCACAAACTCACTTGATAAGAGGCGCGTAGCTGAACCCGGCAGCACTAAGTGGCATTATCCTTGTCCACTTAGCGCATATCACCCGACGGGATACGCATATTTACGGGAGTTCGAGATGGCTTTGTGTGCCCGCAGCACTTAAAAGGCACCGATAACCAGAGCCGGAAAAACAGGTTCTTTGAAAGCAGACAGCAGACAGAAGGAACAAAGAACTCTCGGAATTCGATGGTCTCGAGTCAGGTTAGTAAATTTCATTTTGTTTGAAGTGTCACTTTAGTGAATTTTATTGCGTTTTCTAGTAAAGTGTACACTGTGTGTTTGAGGAGATTATCTGTCAACACCTGGACTGTAGTGATAATCTCATATAAAGTTTGCTAATGTATAATGCGCATCGTATAGTCTGAATGGACACGAGGTGTCCTCTTACTTTTATGTTGGCTCATGTGAAAATTATTTGCGAACTGAAAATACGCGTAATATAGCCGTGCACTAAAATATATTTAACTGAAGCGCGATGAGTGAGCACCCTTTGAAATTATAGTCATATCAATGCGTACTTAGACAACCTAGAATTTAATGTCTAGTGCGTAAATTTGTTCCCACTTCGTATATTGGTTTGGCCGGTATAGTCCAGTTTTGTTTGAGGTGTTTGATCAATAAATGAAAGCACTGCTTAGCTCTACAGGTAATATTTAAAAAAAATGTTTAGGTATACAGATTTTGTGTATGTTCTTACTTCGACTGAAAAGCAGGTTGTTGAAGAGAAATTTGTATCTGTTCAGTATGGATTTGGGTTCACGGTCAGCAAAAATAGCCATTTAAACTGGTTTGAACCGGTTCCAACAAGTCTAGACCACTAAATTCAGAATCTTTTTTTTTAAAGGGTTATTTCCGCGTAAAACGAGTAACTATATAGTTCTTCATCGTTCATACAATATGTATTTATTTTGAGGCACCAAAAGAAAATTCCGTTGTATAATTTCAACACAAGAGTAAAATGAATTTAGACCTACGTACCGAACGTCGTTTATATACGAAGCAATATCCACATGTTGTCCTCACTCACATGCATTTTATCTGAATCGAAAGATCACAAAGTGTGGATGGTCGCATAAAACACGCATGATTAATTGAACTTTGTGTCGCAGTATTGAAAGTTGAATCGTAGTTGTGCTTTTTAAGTAAAGAAATTACTACAGTGAATAAAATGATGAAATGGGAAACACGTCATAGCGTGAAATAAGTTTACAAACTACGTTTTATAATGAGCAGGGTGCTTCTGTAAGCACCAACATATTTGGCTCGCCATGCAAAACTCGAATTCCAAACGTACATACCTGAAACGGGGCATTCGAACGCAGTTAAGCAAAACCTGTATGCAGCTTTTTCTTCTTTTTTTTTTTCTTCTTTTAAAGTTGGGGGGGGGGGGGGTCATTTTTCAGGTAGTGATATGTTAAAAAAAAATAAAGCAAAGCAAAGTCAGAGGCCGTGTATTTCCTCTCCCATACCAGGCTGTTTGTCGCCTGCATGCTGGTTTATAAGTTGGATCCCGCGTGGCTTTCTGAACGCATGAAAGCTAGAGACCAAGAGCAGAGGCTGGTGATTAGCAAAATAATAGCGCTATTTAATTGTTCTAAAAAACATGTGAACAAAGCTCCCCTGGAAGCAAGTTCAAAAACCTGTGTGAAAATGAAAACATCCGGTATAAGGCACAGGAGATGCACGCCGGTTTTGCTCTATCTTTAATAATTTACAATTTCCGACCTGAGCTCTAATAAAATAGACATCAGACTTGATGTCAAACTACGTTCGCCTACCCAGTTTCAGGTATGTATGTTTGGAATTCGAATATTACAACGCGTGCAAAAAGTGTTCGTCCTTCGGCCCCATTTTATATATATTGACAACTCAACTGAAGCTGAAAGCAATATTTTCAAAATGTCACGAAAGGTTATTAAAAGCCCGTTAAGTCTACCTTTTATAGAAATATCCAGTGGCAATCACAACGCTTGTTTTCCTAACCAACATTGTTTACACTCGGCCCCGTAATGCAGGCAAATGTCATGCATTAAGGAGTGACCAAAGTTGTTCGCTCTAATTTACACGAAACCTTCGTACACAGATCGAATCTGGCCTAAAATAGCGCCCACCCATATAAACAATTTCTTATACAGTATAAACTTGCATAGCCTATCTGTTGAGCTTTGTTGTTAACAAGATGTCAGTCAAGTCTATTCGCACAAAAACCCCACCTTTTCATGTTGATGATTTCGTGTTAAATATAGCAGAGTAGACATAATGTTCTACTAGAAATTGCAGCTTTTTTAATTTGTCATTTTCTGACGGTCTGAGTATCTAATGGTCATAATTCCGCCGAGCGCAACTGTGCATTTTGTTTTTGTTCAGCCGGCAGAAACATAAAATTTATGAACATCACTTAAAAGAGACACTACTTCTAACGACCTTTTCACTAAAAGAGAGCAAGAAAAAAAGTGGAAAGGGCTGCCGGCGCTTTCCTTTTTTTTTTTTTTTTTGGATAGTTCAGAACGAGCGAAAGCCCCGGATGAACGCCTTGGACGCGTGGGTTACTCAAAGTTCGCTTGTTTTCTTCGCAATTTCTTCTATCTCTTTCCTTCCAGATTTAGTTAGAGCGAGCCAATTCAATGACGACAATCACCTGGTCATCGAGGCACACTTCTTCGCTAAGAAGCTGCACGAATAACAACCTGAAGCGCAGAATATTATCGAAGGCCATCTTTGTCGAGCGCGGGACCCAACTGCGGCTGCAATGTTTTCAAACTCCTTCGCTTTCAATATGACCAAGGCCTCTGGCGGCAGTGGGTTGCGTCCGTTAACCGAAAGCACTTTTCCCGGACGCAATCCTATCTAGTGTGCTCGCAACATTTAGTGAATGGAGCGCCCACACTTAAAGGAACACTGACAGGGTATTTATGCTCGCCCATTCTCTAATTGTACATGACATATGAGAGCGCAACTATCCAGAACATAATTCGCGGTTCGAAATTCGTTTTCTTTCGGCCCGAAAACAGCCAATCGAGAACTGGCCGGTTTGAGTCGCGCTCACTCTTTTTTCTGTCGTCACGTGCCTTTTGCTTTGATTTAAACACAACCACCTAAGATGATCAAAGTTGCGGATCACAGAAGGCACACACTCAATACTAAAAATAGGCAAAAATATACCTATTTGTGTGGCTTCTGAATGCTGCAAATACGTTGATTGAAAAACAAAGCGTTGCACAGCCACGTGACTTCTGGTAGCTTTCTCCTCCTGTATATTTCTCCTTCCTCCCCTGTCCAGTTTCGGTTTTGGCTTCGAGCAGTAGCGTTTTTTTAGTTCATTAAAAACATATGTGACACTGTAGCAAAATAGTGACTGGGTAGCCTTCTTACACCATAATAAATCGTCTGGCAAAAAAAATAAGAAAATAATTTTTTGAGGTCCGTCAGTATCCCTTTAACACTATATCCTCAATGTACATGGGCTAAGCTCGCAAGCTGCGTGCAACGTTTCTCGTGAGAACTGCTACTTCAGCTTGTAACTTTCTCAACTTAAATTTTCTTAGTACTGATATTTTGCAATGGTGACATTGAATTGATATTATAATCTACAGACTACAACACTTAGTTGGATGTAGGTTTCCGGCGCCAAGTGTTACCAGAAATTGTTCAAAGGTTAGTTTCTTGGTTTTCCTGAATCCCGATGCCCTGCGCTATATAAGAGAGCCGTGAACTTATTTTGGCCCTCACAACATTACTGGAAAGAAACTTCAATTTCTATTGCTGAAACCTGCTCATGCATCGATTTCGAATCACTGAATCATTGATCGACTCTCTCTGGCGATCAGCCCTTCCGGACTTTGCTGTTTTCAGTTCTTGACAAATGACACTCTAGTCCACACGGGATCCTTAATTAGAACTCGTATAAACATCTGCAAGCCGGAGGGAGTTGCCTTCGATCGTTCCCTTCAATGCTCTGATTTCGTGTGTCATTATTCACATAATATTTTGTTGCTGTTAACAACACACACAAAAAAAATCTAAATGTACCGATTCCAAAAAAAGAAAAACTGAAGGGGAATTTAATCGCTATTAACTGGTGCAATATTTTGAGCCTGCGAATTCTATCGGTGGTGCGTTCAGTGCCGCACTTCTCAGTAGCGTCGCACCGGCGAATGCCATAATGAGGGGCAGGAAAGGCTCTCAATCTGTTGAAAAAATCTATTCTGGGCACACAAGAGCACACGATTCGCCCTAAGTAGGATACCCAGCAATTTGTGGCACCTGACTAGCATACCCAGCGTGGAGCGGCGCCCCAGAGAGCACTTTCGCAAACGTTTCTAACCAGTCAGCATGCCCGCGGTACTTGACGCTAGCCCGATGGCGCTACGTTATTCAAAATAACGCCAGTCATCGTAAAACGATCTATATGTTTAAGAATTTATATCAGGAACACAGTTATTAAAATAAACTTTATATACAATAATTGATTGAGGATCTCTCATATCACCTATAAAAGTGCCTATCATGAATAAAGATGCCTGAAAAGATTTTGCAGAAGAAATTTCAAATAATTTATGGGTGCATTTAGTTATGAGTGTTTAAGGTAATTGGCCCTCTTTTAGATTAAATAGTAAGTTAGGAATTATACATATATATATATATATATTAATCATTAATAAGTTTGATTGTGTGAAGTTCACATACCAGCTTGACACCGACGCAGGAGTACGACGATTGAAAATGAAACATGTACGTAAAGCGTTACACGAGTTACTTCTTATCAGTTACTTTTCTTTGGTAACGATAACGTATTGAGTTGCCATTTCGTAAAAGAAACCCCGAGAAGCGTACTTACTTACTTTTAAAGGAAATGTGCAATGATTTTGACGGTGAAAAAATTTGCATCTCCTACTTTTGGCTTTGTTTGTCTTGTCACAAACAACAGAAAGAACATCTTCTGTCTTCGAAATTTCGCGAGGCAAAGGAGTTTTAATTTTTGTAGTAGTTTCGGTTGCGTTAAAGGGGCATTATTGTTGGAGACAGATTAAAGCGCCATTCATATATGTGCGACCGAGTACGACCCAGAGAGAGAACAGAACGGTTTTTAAGCCTCTTGCGATGTCTTAGGACCGGATGTGCTGCAGCGTAGCTGGTCCTAAGACATCGCAAGAGGCTTAAAACCCGGTCTGGTCTCTCTCTGGGTCGTACTCGGTCGCATATATATGAACGGCGCTTTAATCTGTCTCCAACAATAATGCCCCTTTAACGCAACCGAAACTACTATAAACATTTAAAAAAAATCGCTATTGCCGGGAATTGTAAAAAAAAAAGTAAAGAAAAACACTTCTCAGTTTTATGCAGCAGAAGTAATTATCTGTGAGTGTGAGTGTCTTTAAACATGTTTAACTGCACATTGTTGTTTATTCATAATCAAATTTGTATATATTGCGTCATTTATCACCTTACCGGAAGAACAACAAAAAGTAATTTTGAGTTTTAAAAGTAATATGCTGAAAACTGAACGAGACAAAGTAATTTTTAAAATAATCGATTAAAGTTTGGCGATTAATCGGGTTAATGTTTTAAATCAACACAGATCCCTAATTTCTAAAAAAATATATAAGTGCTATAGAATATTATTTAGTGCTCCCGCCGACATTATCTTTTAGATTCCTTTCTCGATATATTTAATCTCTAGTTTAGATATCTAGGCATGGCCCTAAAGACCGTCCTTAACGAAAACGGACCTAAGTGTCGTTATTCATAATTATTTGAACATCTCGGGAGCAAACTATATTAGCGTGTCACATTAATAGTCCAGAAACAAGGCCATAGTGAAGGGCGAGCTCAATTATCTTCGTATAAATGAGGCAGAACTACTAAGCAGGGTGTTTACTTACACCGTCTTGAGGGTTTTCATGGCGCCTCCACAATTTCGTGCACGGTAAGTATATTTCAGTTTGTGCAGTGAAAAAGAACTTGTTTTTTATTAAACATACTAAGAACGCGAGTCTACAAGGTCGCTAGAACAAGAAGGGCTGGTTTGTGGGGTGAGTATACATGATTAAAGAAAACATAAGCGTGGATACTATTTGCAGCATTGACAACTTGGAATAGTCAATCAAGATGTCCCTTTCGGGTCGGCTTGCGATCGTCACCGGTGGAGGAAGTGGCATCGGCAAAGCGGTCTGCCATGCCCTGGCAGGAGATGGGGCAACTGTCGTGGTGGCCGACATCAACCTAGAAGCGGCGAAAGTAACTGCTGCTGAGCTGAAAGGTTTGTGCCGTCTCTGATTTGTGATTTCAGAATTTTCAGTTCAAATGCATGAGGGGGGGGGGGGGGGGCGAACAAGCCCAAATATTTTTGGTACGTTTCAGAGTTCAAAACATTCCCTTAAACATTTATTTCTAAGACAATATTTTTTGGGTGAGCAGACAAACACGGGCGAACTTTCGAGAGGAGTATGTGGCTTCCGGTGGGATATTGTGTTTTCTTGTTTTTGAGGACCCGCAGGGACTAACACCGATGTTAAAAGTCTCAATGCCGCGGACCAAATGCGGTACCTCTTGAAATTCGCTCATACTTGATCATCACGCCTTCCTGAGTTTTTGGATGACAAGAAATATAGCACTTGTTCCTTAAAGACACGACGAATGTGCCGAAGGGATCGTGGGCATGCATCTTCAGGAGTATTTATCTATTCGAGCCGTCAGGGCTGTATACCTGAAAAGTACAAAAAACCTACAAGTCCTGAAACGTGTTAAAGCACTTTGTGAACGGCTCTACAATGGCAATGGGTATCTACCTACCTTCCTCAGGCACCGAGATGCGCGCCCAGCTACCACGCAAAGGTCGCGAAGCTAAGTCTTTGTTGTAGCTGAACATCTTCCGAAAGTTTTAATTACGCTTCCCTCAGCGCCAAACGAGTCTCTGAAATGCCCGATTTTCAAACGCTTTGACTAGCTTGCTGTGCTATTCGAGGTTTTTTTCCCAGAACGCCGTGTCACCTTGCATGTACACGTGCCATAATGATACGAGGAGGGTATATATCATAGTACAGAGATGGTCCGAAGAGGCGCCGCCTATGTCACCAGCGCCTCATCTTTGCGTTGCGCCAGTTGGAGGCAGCACATCGAAGTAGGCTGGCACCGTCTGCTATGCCGCCGTTCTGCGATCACCCAAAGCTCGGCTGCGTCAGTGGCGTTCCTCGCTCGAGACAATCAAAAGAACTTCATTTGCGACATTTCGTTCGTGCTGATGAGCATCGGCCGCTCTAAATCACTAACGGGGTCATTTCTAGAGCACGGCTCTCGCGCGGTTGCTCGCCCGGGAACCAAGAGTCGTTTGGACACCGACACAAACGCAAGGTAAACGTAAGAGAACTGGAAATAAATTGGGTGTCCAAAGTCACCAGGCTCGACCTAAAATGGACCGTAAAAATCGATGCCTGCTCGTAGCAATATAAAATTTTCCTCAAAGGTGTACTTCACATGTCGGTTTTTTCTTGTAAAATTATAAAACGTAGCTCGCTTTCTGTAAAAAATAGGGCCAAAAAACTTGACAGGCTCAACGGGGGGCGGCGACGCGGACTACCAAGTCGAGTTGAAGGACGCGTTTGGCGCGCGTATTGATAGATGGCGTCGGGAGCAAGCAGTGTCGTGAGGTGTAGCCGACCAGCGAAAGAAAGCAGACGACACGCGAAATTGCTTTTATTGTCCGGCTTTATTTTTTAACCAAATTTACATAACAAAAAGATTATTTTCATTTTAATAAAGCACGGTGGTCGCGAGCAGTCTCGATTAGAGTTCCTCGATATGCTCCCCTGAAGGGGGAGCCGAGTTGCGCATTTATTTTCACCTTGCCGCCACGCCACTATTCGCCGAGATTCATCACGTGAGGAGCAAAGCATCCGCTGCCGTGCAAGAAAGCCACCTTTACGGTCGCTCCGCCGACGTCCGCCGAGAGCTGGCATATGTTTCCCTGCTTTCGCCTCCTTCTCCTCTTTTTTTGTTTTCCATGCGCGGCGGAGCGTGCAGCGCCGCTATTCGCCGAATTTAGTCACGTGAGGAGCAAAGCATCCAGAGCGTGCAGGAAAGCCGGCGCTACAGCCACCCGCCGAGGCTGAATGCGCAACTCTGCTACCGTAGGTCGCTATATACAGGAACTCTAGTCTCGCTAAGGAAATAGCGCCATCGATCAATACGAGCGCCAAACACGCCCGCCCCGCAAGTCGACTTCGTCGACTGCGTCGCTGCCCGCCATTCCCCCTGGCATGTTTCCTGGACCTTTTTTTTTTTACAGAAAGGGAGCTACGCTTTCTAATTGTACAAGAAAAAACCGACCTGTGAAATACATTTTTGACGAAAAGTTTAGATTTCTACCTGCAGGCGTCGATATTTACGGTCTCTTTTAGATCGAGCCAGGTGACTTGGGACAACCTATATATCTCCCTCTGTCATGGCGGCCCGAAGTTGCGAGAAAATCGGATGGCATAAAAAAGGCGCGGCTTAGCTTTACGTTTTTCACTTCGTGATTGTTACTAGGGTTCCTATCGGGTAATGCCCCAAATTTGTCGACTTCGTAACTGCAATAAGATGGCAGCAATTCTCAACGTTTCGCGTTCCCGAAATTTTCAGTGACTATAGTTTCACTTTTTATTTATTCTGCTCAGTGTTTCATCTGACATACTCTCAGGCTTTCTCTTATACAAAAAATTAGCAGATATCAAATAAAATATTTTAAATCAGAAACTAAAAAAAAAAAAAAAATGGCCGGCAAGTGTTAAGGCAGTTATTATGACAGCAGTATTCGACCCGTTCGACGAAATTAATACCAGTGTCAAAGCGCCATAAAAAAGGAAGGCACGAAACCTCGCGTGAAACAAGTCTGGCCTCATGGGCATATTGGTTTATGCAGGAAGCGGCCACCATGGTACGAAGGGCAGTTCTTAAGCAGATTGTATAATTTGGTCAGGTGATTCATATCACTGGATGAGAAAGACGAGGAAAACGACAAGGACCCTAGAAAAGTTGAGAAGACAAGGTGCAGAACATAATAACGAGCGTTGCAAAGAAATAACGCGCAGTAGAGTGAAATACCGCCTGGTTGACAATGCTGATTGAAAAAGGCACCGAAAATAAAAAGGAGCTATAGGCAAGTTGAACAAGGAGCCTTGTTCTACTACTTGACTGTAGCACCGTTTTTTTTTTTTTTTTTGACGCCTTTTCTAATTGGCAATTTTCGTACCTCAAGATGTATTTTACGATCACTGTTCGTGGTTTTAAAGGCTTTATATGAGCTAGGCGAGTTGACTGTGCTGAAAGTCAGTTCTAAGGACAGAAATGAATGGGTTCCGTTTCATCTCTAATTTTTAGGAGAAGTGTACTCCCGTCACACAGTAGAAGTGTCAGGTTGGAGTTGATTCTCATGGTGGTAGCTTATAGGGTTTGTGTAATGAGGGAATGGGCTGGCAGCGTTTTTTAATCATGATAAATATGGCTTTTTTTTTTTAGTTGCATGCAAGACTCAGGCTTTTGGAGCCCATTTCCCTCGCTGAATTTGACACAGCTCTGGTTTCTAAATGTTATCTTCATCCCCCCCCCCCCCCCCGTCAATTTTAGGTATTCGGAGTTCCATTCGCTCTTCTTAGCAACCATTAGCGGTAACCGGCGACTGATAGAGGCATCGCCTGTCCACTTCACAGGGATTGTGGCTGTATTGCAACTTGATTGCGTCGTGACCAGGGTTGTAAAAGTTACTTCAAAAATGTACCTAAGATACAGTTACAGTTACTCATACGAAAATGTACCTAGGTGCGTATCTAGCTACTCGCTTAAAAATGCACCTAGGTACAGGTACAGTTACTTCAAAGGTACTTTTTATTTTCACGTCAAGTATTTTTCTCAAATTTGTCACATTATTATTGGAATTAAATCCTTTGTATACTGGGATGTAAAAAAAAAAAACAAGTTTGATAAACGTGCTTTATTGGTGTCAGTGGGAGAAATAAGGCAAAACGCTCACCAGAGCATTCGAAGACTGTCTTTTTCACTTGAGTGCTCGATTTGACCTCAGAATCAGGACTTCTTCGAAATGTTCATCCGACATCTTCGATCGCAGTTTGGTAGTAACAATTGTTCCTCCTATGCTAAAAACGCGCTCCAACGCCGCAATGCTTGGAAGCCCTGTGTTGAATTTTAAGAACACGCTTTTCAGCAGCGGCATGTGCTTGAAACAGTCCAGACTTCTTGTCGGAAACTTTGGTGTACTGTACAGTCGGCGAGAAACAGCCACCGGAGGAGCCTCCAACTCAGTAGAAGGTGGCAAAGGGTAAAACAGAAGGGCCCGGGGAGCCAATAAGGTCACTGGAGCGAGGCACGTGACGGCGCTGCACAGATGTCCACATCGGAGTTGAGTCCTCACGTGCCTTACTCTCACGCTCCAATTGGCTCACCGAGGACACAGCTTCCACTGTTTACGACGTCCCGCTCAAACTCGCTTGTTGACGTGGCTTGCTCTTCAGCGCCAGCACTGGCATCGAAGCCATCGGCGGGCACTGAAGACGTCGGCCGCATGGAGAAACGAAGTGTCGAGTGCATACGCACCTAACCTTCGCAACGCAACGACGCGCGAAAGTCTTCAAGCGTTCACGTTTTTTCTTTCGTTTTTAGGAAGGAAGAGAATATTGTAACACGAGCGCGTTTAGGAGCTCGTGTCACAGAAAATCCGTCGGATGTCGGTGGTGTCGGTGGCGTCACGGGAAATTCCTGAATGGTCGATAGGGTAGTGACGTCACAGCCACATGACTTCGCGCGGAAATTTCAAACAACCCACAACGCTCATGTGAAACGTGACGTCACGCGTGGAATGAAGGTGGCTAAAGACATACAAATTAATGGTCGCCGCATGTTTCAAATGATCCCACTTGATAAACTAATTCATTTGCCTTAAATAAAAGTTTGAAGAATTTACGCAGGATTGCACCCACGACCCTTCGGCTGCGGACCAGACATGATACCGACTAGGCAACGGAGGGCTTGGGAATGGCACTGCGATCCTGCCGTCATTAGAGTGCCTCGATGTCTGTCTGTGTCAGGGTAAAGGTATTATCGCATCGAGTGTTGTTAGCGCGTGCCGAGCAAACACTTAAATAAACCTTGCGGGGTAAAATGGCATCAAAGCACTGGCAAAAGCTCCTCGATCGCGCCGGGAGTGTTGTATCATAAGAACTAGGTCGCTGTGTGACTCAAGAGCATGAGAAGCGATTGAGAAGGACATGCGAACGGGACCCGATAACCCTATCGCTAATCGTTCTCCCAGTTTTTTTTTCTTCACAAACATTTTCAGTTTTGTAAAGTGCAAAATTTGAGTTTGTTTTATTGAGTGGACTACGTGATGTTAAATTGATTTACGACTGTAATTATAATTTATTTTCAGTTATATGTTGTATTGTGTTTTCTACGATTTTCACGAAGTGAATAGAAAAGTACCTGTAAAAAGTAACTTCACTTAGTTACAAGTTACAGGAAAATGTACCTAAGATACAGATACAGATACTGAGAAATGAAAGTACCTAGGTTTGTACCTCAGGTACAACAAAAATACCTAGATACCGATTTACAGTTACTTGTACCTAGGTACTTTACAACCCTGGTCGTGACGACACTTCGTATCGACGCAAAGTGGCCTGTTAAAGCATGTTATAGAAGATCAAATTAATGGTCGGGAGAACACAATGATGACGAAGAACGTAATTCCTTTAAACACACACTTGCACAGTAAAAACATGCATATTTAGAAACCGTATTACCCTCTGCGATTACTTTATTTGGTTAGGTATGGTTCTTCCATCGTTCATAACGTATGGGTAAATCAGTAAATTTTGGAACTCGTAACGATATTCTGTTTTGTAACACACTCACACATTTGAGAGCATGTGGCCTTTGATTGGTTCTAAATGTGGTATAATAAGTGACGGAATGGATTGTGTTAGTGTTAGGGTGACCAGACGTCCCGTTTTGGCCGGGACAGTCCCGTTTTTGAGGTCCACTTCTGCCGTCCCGTTTTTTTGTCCTGATAAAAAAACATGTCCCGTTTTCGTAGGAGCGCATAGTCTCGGAACTAGCACCACGCGATTTAAACAAACCGACACTATGCCTACTCGTTACAAGTATATCTTACAGAAATGAGCACCGGTACTTTATAACATTTGCCCAGAGAGTGAAATTTAGAACTGCTCTTACCTTCAAACACTTTTTCTCTCGCAAAGACAGGTGTGTAGGCAGGCACGTAGCCATGGGGGAGGCCCATGGGGCCTGCCCCCCCCCCCCCCCCCGAAATCTTCTATTTTGCTGGGACCGCCTCTCCCCCCTCCCCCTCATACAGCATTTTGTCATGCCCCCCCCCCCCCCCCCCACCCCCCCGCCCGAAACAAAATCCTGGCTACGGGCCTGTGTGTAGGGATATAATTTTTTTATTGAAAAGAGTGATATAGCACACATGTAGAGTCTCGGTTGGCAACTCCCTTCCCCCGCCCCCCCCCCCCCCCTTCCTCGCCGGGATGTCCCGGTTTCTACCTTGAGGAATATGGTCACCCTAGTTAGTGTACTTTAATAACTAGCTGGTAAACGAGAGCTTGTGTGCACCTTTTTGGGGCTCTACGCTTCTATACTTTCTCATAAGAATTGTTGGTGGATTTGCTCAAAATAAAACAGAAGGTTATTTTTTTCGGTTTGACGCCTGTCAATGAACAATCGAAAACTATAATATAAGGCAGTTATTTCTTTATTTTTATAAAAGGTATCACTATAGCTTGAGCATAGGCACTCATAAGAGACATAAATCATGCAGGTTGAAATCAAAATTCACACTGAGTAAGTGAACTTGCTTTTTATGAGTTATATTGCGTTCAGCATGCGTATTATTAACCCTATGGTATAATTTAAAATTGATCACAGAGGCGCCAGTTTTAGGAAACAGGAGATTAGGATTATATCAGACATCAGGAATAATTTTAGTTGTGTACTAGACTATTTAAACAGGAACAGGAAAATCCCTGACCTTGCAAAAGCTTTGAATCCTCCTGACATGAAACTTACTTCTGTCTGTCCACCGCATTCACTTTTTTAACAGGCGAAGCTCACCGGGCTCTTCATGTGGACGTCGGCGACTCCTCCTCTGTCGCTGCGCTCATGAGCAGCGTCAGCTCCCGATGCCGGACTCCCATGAGCATCGTGGTCAACTGCGCTGGCATCGACAAGCAATGCGCCGTCGTGGACATGACAGAAGACGACTACGATGAACTGCTGCGAGTGAATCTTAAGGTTAGTTACATTTAGGGTTCTGAGTTTTGCTTAATACCGATAAAGCCCGGAAAAAAACATCGAGTAGGTGAGTATTCAAAACAACCGATCCGGTGGTTATACATCAGGGAAACAAAGAAAAATGAATCAAAGCTGTTCTTGAATAGGAACAAAAAGAAAAAGCTTCACCAAAACAAACATCGTTGTCCACAAATTTTATTTTTTCTGGGGCCGAAACACAGCTCTTAGTATACCATCCGTGAGGCTTCTTGCCTCGGAATTTATTTTACTTCGTTTCATTTTCTTTCGGTACATGCTACCTCTAAGTCCGCCAAATATACATGGTGAAAAATTAAAATTTTGCCTGCGTGGACAATCTAGAAGATTGAACTATACAAGATACTGTTTTTAGAGCGCAGCTCTTAGGGGCCCGTTCCCGGCTTGAGCGGCGTCGCCGTCGGCGTCGGCGTCGCCGTCGCCGTCGCCGTCGCCGTCGCCGTCGCCGTCGGCGTAACCAAGGTCATCCCAAGGTCACGTGACCCCTCCCAAGGTCATCTCAAGGTCACGTGACCCCACGTGACCCCCTGAAGGTCACGTGACCCCTCGAGGTCACGTGACCCCTTCCAAGGTCATCTCAAGGTCACGTGACCCCAAGATGACCCCACGTGACCCTTTGAAGGTCACGTGACCCCCAAGTCACGTGACCCCTCTGAGGTCACGTGACCCCCGAGGTCACGTGGTCGCCTCCCCAAGGTCACGTGACCCCCAAGGTCACGTGACCCCTTCCAAGGTCATCTCAACGTCACGTGACCCCACGTGACCCCTCTGAGGTCACGTGACCCCTCTGAGGTCACGTGACCCCGAGGTCACGTGACCCCTCCAGGTCACGTGACCCCAAGGTCACGTGGGGGTCACCTTTGGGGTCACGTGGCCTTGAGGTCACCCCCAGGTCACGCCTCCCCGAGGTCACGTGACCCCCTCCCCGAAGTCACGTGACACCCCCCCCCCGGAGCATATTAAAGAATGAGGGGAGGAGGAGGAGAAGGGGGAGGGGTCTACCCTCCCCTCAGTACCCTTCACTCCTCCTCCTCAAGAGCTGCGCTCCAATTCGGCGTTACAGGGATTTGTAAACGGCTTTCACTTTTTTTTTTTTATAGATCGTTCACTGTGATAAGATATCAATAATTTTATAAATAACGGGGTATATTAATGTTGCTTTATGTACGACACAAGCTTGTTTGCAAGAGAAAACAGCAGGCATATGTTAAGGTGTGCTGCGTATGATCACTTTTACGTTCGAATTAGGCACTTAGTGTGAACTATGTACCACGTACTGGCTATTGAAGACTATCTAAACCCAGATTTTCCCCGAAAGCAAACATTTACAACAAAAAACACCGATGCTACAAAAAAAAAATCGGAAAAAGCATCGTCCAAGTTGAACAAAAATAAACTTCAAAAACATTGGACCGGAGTTATATCGCATGTTTCTGATATTATGGAGGACATACCTTCCCTCAGTAACATGCCGGGTGATTTAACTTAATTTTAACGTTTATATTTAAAATGGGAATATAAGTTACGCAGGCACCGTTTTGAACAAGTATTTACCATAGTCGGCGAACATTATTGAGGGGATAAGTTTATGGTAATTTGTTTAATTAAATTTTATATGATCAATAGCTGTTTTAATTATTAGTCTCATGGGTCCATGTTGCAAATGTATTGTCAGCCACAACGACCACAAGCCTAGCCAATGTAAAAAAGTTCGTAAAAAGCTGATTTTTTTATATAGATATTAAGTAATCGGTGTTTGCCTTTTATTGCGGACTCGAGATTGAATTTTCGCCTCCACGTCTCCCGCATTGTTGGTCAAGGGCTTCGCCAACTGGGTGTAATTGCGTGGCTGACAAACAAATTTCGTCGCTCTGTGTTTTTTTTATGTCTATCACGCCTCGAGTTCACGCCTCGAGTTCGCGTCTGTGGTTTGGAACTCTGTAACGATATGACCTAGTAATATTATCGAAAACGTTCAGCGTAAGTTTATGAGAACCTTATACGACCGACATATTGGCCGCCGCCGTTTCTACAATTACCATTCCCTGCTCACTGACCATTCCCTGCTCATTGACCTCGGTCTTGTGCCTCTGCACGATGGGCGAATTGCAAGAGACATACATTTCCTGCGTCAAATTGTTCGTGGTTTTCTTGATTGTGCCCATCTGCTGATGTCGCTGAGGTTCCGGGTACCGTCAGGGAGGACATTAAAATGCAAAGACAGGTTTTATCCTGATGTGCGAGCCACTTGCCCAATGACACGTCTGCAACAGAGTCACGATGCCTTTTTTTGGTGAAACAGACATTTTCTCCTGATTGTGTTTTTATCTCAAACTTTTATGTATTTGTGTACAGGACAGTGCGCTGCTCCTCAGGCCACTTGGCTGTTTGCAGGCACGCAAAAGAACCCCATCATCCATCATCATCTATTGCACGTTGTCCAAACTGCGCGCAAAAAAATTGCCACAGGCCCTGCCCACAATGGAGCTTACAAGTATGACATAGACGTTTCAATCCCGTCGTCACTATCTCGTCAGGGAGTCATTGGTGGGTGCGCCAACGACACAATTACGAGGTAGAGACGACGTAACTGAAACACCTACGTCACTCTCCTAAACGTCTTTTCGGGCCGGGTATCGGGCACCCATTGGCTTAATTTGGGAATTAGGGAAAAAACTTAAAGACGGATAAATGAATATCTAAAAACCCTTCATTTTTTTCGAATTTTATAAACTGTTTTATCTCTTATTGGGAAGGTTGGTCAAAAATGCAATTGCGACATGGCCCTTAAAACAGTAATTAACTATATTTAACAATTATTCAGAAATTTGTATATGAAGTTTATCTTACTATTTTACGTCCATAGAACCTGATTTATAAGTAATAAGTATGGCACCCGTGTAACTGTAACTCCCTTTAAAAATAAAATAAAAAAAAACTATTGAGATTAGAATTTTGTTCTCTGTGCAATTACAACGCCATAAGATTTTTTATAAAATTGTTCTCAGGTAAACTCACATTGTTTAGGATATAATGTCGCCTGCTACAAACGACGCCTATGCGAAAAATTTCTGCTTGGAGCCGTATGTCGCAGCACCGACCTGTCGGACGCTACCAATCGTGGCCTGGCCCTGAAGTTTACAATTGACCTGATGGATGTAATTATTTTTATTCTGGTTAATGCCAATCTGATCTAAGGAAAACATGTTTCTTTTGTATATAGGGCACCTTCCTCATCAACCAGGCTGCTGTGAAGGCTATGCTCAAGGATAAGGTTCTCGAGGGCTCCATTGTCAACATAGCCAGCATTTTCGGCAAGAGTGGGTACCCCTTCTTTGCCGCGTATGCAGCCTCCAAGGGCGGCGTCACTGCGTTCACGAAGTCTCTGGCTCAAGAACTGGCCGGCACAAACATCCGCGTGAACGCTCTACTGCCCGGACCAACTGACACTCCAATGGCGGCTACTAAATCTGAGCAGTTAAAAGAAGAGGTCGCCAGAATCATACCAATGAAAAGGTTTGCTCGCGCTGAGGAAGTTGCTGACGTGGCTAAATATTTGTGTTCCCCTGGCAGCTCTTACATTACGGGCACTAGCGTGGAAGTCGCCGGGGGATGGCTCGCTTGAAACGGGGTTTTATATACCCAGATACATTTTTTGGGGCCAATAAAACCGTGCGTATTCGTTTTCCTGGGTCACTTTGGAGTCGGAGTTTCCGGAATGTTTTGTGTTCAGCCTGTACCGCAACAAAACAAGCTTCTTCTTGATTCATCGGGAAGTCAGTTCCACCCTACGGTGCCTGGAACACGTCTCTGACTGGTGTGTTTACCACCCCCTGAGAAACTGGTCCCTCCATTTGAGCCTTATGATGCTATACCAGTGTCATGCTGTTTCCAGCCGAGATTCTAGCGGTGTCACAGCATTGGTGTCGCAGCACCCGTGTCTCCTCAGCGGTAGTGGATGTGGCAGGCGACTGCTGTGCAACACTTTCCTCTCCAGTTTGGCAATCCACAAAAGGTTCGGGGGCCATAAGTTGGGACGCTGCGACAACAAACACCATTGCGCTCTCTAGTAAATTTCTCCACAAGTTTTACGCTCAACCGCCAGGATCGCGACATCCAACAGCATGACACTCCGGCTTTTGTAGCCGTTTGCTGCACATCAGGAAGAGTTTTGATTTGTGGGCGAAAGAAGACGCAAGACTCACTAGCATTTGTGACAACCACCAGTGTCTATTTTGTTGTTTCGTTCTCACGACCATGGTAATTGGCCATCGCATTATCGCGGACTAAACGAACAGCAACAGTCGTTCATAATTGTGGCGTACCTGTCGGTGTCTAAAAAGCCTTGTTGCAAAACGTTTGGTGAAATGCTAAGCGTAGGCCCAGTGATTTGAATTCTGAGACACTTCAAGTCATAACTGAAAAGTTGTTGGGGTTGCACACGCAGAAAATGTCGGATCGGTCGCAGCTCTTATTGTCCACCTATAGGTACAGAAAGTGTATTGCAAAACACGTCGTTCATGATTGTTGTTTGCGTCTACTACTTCGCAAAGAAATTGGCTTAATATGTTGAGACCGCGAGAAGATAAGCCCTTGCTTTGAAACAAAGTTGTTTCTCCTTTGCATTTACTTCCAGGAAGATGAAGGAGCGCCATACCTCGTAGACCAAAGCGACTAGAAAGTGTTCCAAGATGCGCCTTCGGCGCATTGGAATGCATGAACGGGCTTGCCCATCATAGAGAGACAACATAGAAAACGTGCAAGGAACACCGATGACAAAGTAGCCATGCGCATGCCTTCATTGGTTGATATCGACAGGAGTCTGGAGCACGTTGCAGTATTTGGGGGGTAAACAAACGCGGGTGCGCAAAAAGCAGCCGATCGTGCACGCCTCATATTGTGCAACATACCAGAGAATTTGGACACTCGTAGAGCTTTCAAGGTAACCGATGAAGCGAGAACTGTGGCAAACGCTGACTTACTCTGACCACACAGTCAAATGGTCACCCGACACACTATAATGTTGGAGCACTTGAGCTTAGGATACACTCGAATAATACCTCCATTGAAAAAAAACGAAAAAAAAAAGTTTACAGGGTCTACCAGAATCTGAAAGGTCGTGACGCACCATTTAACAATACCTGAGAGGTTTAAGATGCCTGTCAAAGCTTTTTAAGGCGCCTGACGTACCCACCAAGAATTTCTGAAGGGTGTGAGAAGACCGTCATAGTTGTTTGAGCAGCCTGTTGGGTCTGTCGCAATGTTTTTTTTTTTTTGTTTTTTTTTTTTTGGGGGGGGGGGAACATGTCACCCATCAAAATAGTTTTTACAGGTCCGTGGGAGAAACCACGTTACCCTTCAGAATATATGCGTTGAAAAACTTGCTTGGCCGTTTAGTACCGGGGCCGCACCGAGCAGTCATTTTATGTCGCCTTTTCGTCCTATGACGTGCGGTCTATTACCTGAAACAGCTCAGTGCGCGGATAAGGCTCTGTTTCTTGCGCCTCGTTGTACGTCCGGCTTCAGAAGATCGTCCAGCGAGAAAAACCTATGCCGGAAGTGTCATCGCAACAATGGACGACACCGTGACCCGGGATTTCCTCAACGGCGGTCGATGTTGGTTTCAGTGTTCGTGGTGTTTGTTGAACATGTTGCTGACAACGCTTGTGTGCGTGTGTGCGTGCATGTGCGTGTGTTTTAGTAGATGAACTACTGTTAATTTGCGCTCAGTTTTAGGAGATCAACTACTCTTAAGTTGTGGAAAGAGCCAACAAAGCCACAGTAGCGCGGGGCGTTGAGCTATACGCGCGCGTCATGCTGGCGGTGAGAGGAACCACGGCGAGCCGAGCGCCGTCCGTTCGCGAGATTAACGGCTATCGTTGTCCCGCTGTCCGGCTTTGCTATGTTCGATACCAATGACCTGTTTTAGATCATTAGCCAGGCGCGTAGCCGCGAAGGGGGGCGGGGGGCGTGGAGCCCGGGCTTCCCCCGAAATCTTCCATTTTGCTGGGGCCTCCTCTCCCCCCTCCTCCTCGTACAGTATTGTGTCATGGGCGCCCCCACCCCTCCCCCCGAACCAAACTCCTGGCTACAAGCCTGTCATTAGCCATAGGTCAGCGCTATGTAAAGTAAGGCGGCATAGCCGGATGTTGATAGCCGCTGATCTCGCAACCGGGGGCGCCGGTCTCGCGTGTTTCCTCTTTCCGCTAGCTTAACAAGCGCGTGTCGCTCGCAACAGCAAGCTCATGTGGCCTCATTAGCTTTTTCCACCGCTGTACATCTCATGAATTTACCGAGCGGAATTGTAAGTACATGGAACGATATTTTCTATCGACAGTGAACTCGGTTGCCGCTATTTAGTCTGATGGGTTCTGTACATAACTGCTGAGGTAGGGTTTCAGTACACGTTGGTTTTACTGTCTTTCTGCGTTTCAACATGCATATGAAACTCAGTCAAAAATAAACTTCCAAAGACGCTTTAAATAACTACAATCTTGGTTTGTAGTTCACATTCAATTGTGCGTCTAAAGGGTTGAAAGGCTGAAAGTTTGGGAAAGGCTGAAGGGCTAAAAAAGTTTGTATGAATGAAAGGGTTTGAAGAGGTGAGAAGGTCCAAAACATATCGGGGCTAAAAGTTATTTTCAATAAGGATATTACGTTATACATACGATAACTTTAAAATGTGGCTATATTATTGTTCATTCAGCCATACCCGTTCAAATGCGGTAGAATTATAAGGTGGGTGGTGCTCTTATTCGAGTGGTGCCTAGGTTATCATGACTTTTAGTCTTTCTGTGCCTTGAGCGAGTGGTGCTTTTAGTTCAGCTGGTGCACACGGCAAGGGATTGTATTGAAACAGGTTACGTTTCACTATTGTCTCTCTAGGGTGCTGTGCGCGCTTCCCATCCGCGCCACCCGGATGCAAATCCTTCGCGTTGAATTTTCTGGGTCACCAGAGAGGGGAAGCCTGCTTTCCAGCTCATTACACTCCTCCCCCTTACTTGCGTTCTTTCTACACCACTTGCCTTTGCTCTTCTCTTTCTTGTCCTTGCGATCCTTCTCATCTCCGCGCGGTTCCTCGCACCAAATAGTCCGTGCGCTTTCTGAGAGCACCGTTCTTGCGTCCTAAATCCGTAGCTCAGAAATAAAGAAAAAAAAAAAAACGTATTCGTAGCTCAATCTGCAGTACACCCGACTTTCATTACGGAGACTGGGGTTCGATCCGTAGACCCCGTGGCAATTTTAGTTTTCTGTTGAAATCGTTTAGCGGGTGCGGATTCACCGACTTTGACATTTCATGCTTACGCGGCTCCCTAGGTTGGTTGAACTTATAAGCTACCGCTTTAAAAATATTTATTTGAATTTACTTTAATGCGGGACACAAACCAACCAATGCCGAGGAACTATATCAGGATCCCGGTGAATTGCGAAGCACAGAATACGACAAAAAACGCACTATGCGTAAGCACAATGTAAAATGACGTTTCGCTTAATTTGTCAGCGAGACAATTTGGTTGTTCTTTGCGAAAACACAACGTGTGAGCAAAGTTATCAGGACGACGAAAATACTTCTGGGCTGCTCTCTGTATATTGGTTAGGTTCTATAATAAAATGTCATTATCAAATGCGCCATTCACGCTAGGGGGTACCAAAACGATTGGTATAATTTATGAGGATCAGACAAACCCAGATTCGTTCTTGTGCGTGCCCATTTTTGTAGTGTCGGTTATTAAAGATATTTCTCAAAAATAAAACAAGATTTGTGGAAAGCTTTAAAATTATGTTTTAGAACACAATAAAAATACAATAAGAGCGGCAATATTCACGAGAAAACGCGTGCGTGTGTGCCTAAGAAATTATTTGATTAATTTTTTCATCAGTAACTCCGAAACCTTTAAAAACACCATATAGAAGTAAACCTAGCAATATTTCTTGCTGCGCGAAATACGTTTAGTGGGAAAATTGAATTTTATATGATTTAATAAGATTCACGACTGCAAAAAAAAAAAAAAAATTAACCGTCAAGGTTAGGCTATGAGAACAGTGGCCCAAGTTTTTAATAATACCAAGCGAGCGCCGACGGCTGGGCCAGCCAGCGCCGTGCCGCGGAGGCGTGCGGCAATACGGGAGAGATCAGGCGCGTGCGCACATAGCTCTTTCCGGTGCGAGCGTCGTCTGTTAGGCTATTCTGTTTACCGCGAGCCGCCCCCGCTCCGTAGCAAAGAAGCGCAGGGCGCTGATGGACACCATTGTTTATTCAACGCCGACTTGTCTCTCTCTCTCTCTCTGCTTCTCTTATCTGGCGCTGACGTGATACTCGTCTTGCGCCGCTTAAAGGGGCGGTGCAATGATTTTAACACTGAACGAATGTGCAGCTTGTATTTTTTATATTGTTTACTTCGGCATAAGTAAGAGAAAAAGTGCCGCCATACCCCGAACTACCTCTATTTCGCTGCGTAATCGCAAAATAAAAAACGCTTTTTTTCCCAACCTGCGGCCACATGGTGGCCGCAAATGGAACCTGCGTTGTGACGTCATTCGGAGTGGTTTTTGTAAGTGACAGTGTTAGGCAATTGTAAGCTTGATTTAAGGTTAAGTTTAAAAAAAAAAATCTTGTTGTTTAGGCATGCAGAAACGCTTCAGAAGCGTTTTTGCCGCTAAAAGGGTATGAATTATTTGTGGCGCCATCTACCGCAAGTCAACAAAACCTGCCGTCATCCGTTGACGCCCGAGGCGCCTACGGCGGCTACACGAGCAACCCGGACGTTTCGTCTTTCCCTCGCTCGACGGAGTGAGTTGGTCGTGGTCCGTAGTATCGTGGTATCGTTATTGTTCCTGGTGTCTCGACCTCGACTTCGACTTCGACTTCACGCCGCGTCGACTGCCCGCCGCACAAGTCCAACTGACTTACTATACGCAAGCATCTTGCGCTCGACGTCGCTCAGGCCGTCCGCCCATGCCGCCATGTTGGTCGGGAATCGGCGGGAGAGCGGGAGAGCGGGAGAGCGGGAGAGCGGCGAGCCTGGCGAGCCGGCGAGCGCTGGGGAAACGGAAGCCAGAAGCACCCAACCGGAAACCAACGCCACTCCGAATGACGTCACAGGCGAAGCTGGTGCCGCTTCAATGTTGAGTTGAGAGGTGCCAGAGATACCAATTTCTTTTATTTTTTTTAATGAAAACTAGGGCAAGCAGGAAAGAATAGATTTCGGTCCTTCGTTTTATATGTGTCCGGGATCAATTCCCGCAATTAATTAGCCAAAGTCCCGAAATTGTTGCACCGCCCCTTTAAACAGTGGCGGAATGACGCGGTTTAGGCTGCACATGAGCAGTATCACCCAAGCAAGCGCTGTTAAGATCTTTGCTTAAAGGCGGTGTGCTCTGCCAGCAGGTAAGGAGCAGGGGTTGTGTGCGGGCAACGGAATATCCTAGCAGACGACGCTCACACCGGAAAGACTTTTGTGCGCACGCGCGTAATCTCTCCCGTATCGCCTCACGCCGCCGCGGCACGGCCCGGCGGTCGACAGTCACCTGATAATATTGAAAAATTGGGCCATTGTACTGTGTTTCACCGTAAGTCCACACTCAATAAACGCAGAGGGTTGATGGGAACAATCAGACTGTGTCAAAAGCGCACCATTATGGTTTTCGTCGGGTTTAAGTGCGTGTTCTATCATCGCTGAACCAGCCATTAAAAAGAAAAGACCCAGTGACCTGCTCTTTTGATGCTGTTTCATCGGTCCCATTAGCTTGTAGCGTTGGCTGCATCTTGACGTGAGCTCAAACGAGGTATAGTTTAGAAACTGATTATCACACTAGTTTACGAACCCTAAGAATTATGAGTATTTTCCCGGCCAATTCGTGGTCATCGTTTTTCGTGTGTACTAACATGGTTCGAATGTCTCGAACTACACTCTAAGAAAAACGTTGGTCTAAAGGAAATAACGGCAGCATTTGGTCCTCTGAACTCCCAGTTGCTCTCCGAAAGGACCATCTGGTTCCAGCTAGGTATTGTGCGCAAAAGCTGGGGACTAACTGCGCTCGACTGGGACTAACCGATAGGCGCGCGCGAGCAAAAGCAGCCATTAGTCTCCCTCAGACAATGTGCATCTGTATGATTTAGTCCCCGAAGGTAAACGGAATGTTCGCCAGGAGGACGGATGATATTTCGCTTGTCTTGGGGATTGGCAAAACTCAGCCCAGCAAGGCTGTAAGTGTTGACAAAACTCGGACGAAACTGGCGAATTTGTGTAATTTGCCGCGAACGTTCAGACTACAGAATATATGTACGCATATTTTACAATATATATTGTACAACATAATTGTACAATGTATGTGGATGTACAATATGTACAACACAACATACACAATATGTGAGAGCAACTATGAAGTTGCTCTCACATATTGCGCAGTGCTGGCTATCGCGCAACTGTTAATTCAATGTATAACAATCCAGTTTCTGCAGAAGGGGATTCGATACGTGAACGTTCTGCCACGGGGAAAGGCAGCTTAGTGACTGCAGCTGTTGTTCAGCGGTTTCGTGACGAGCGCTCTAATGACACGCGCTCTATTGCCGCGGTGCCCTCTTGACGTTCGATCTGCAGTCGCGCTGCTCTGGTGTCGTGCGCTCTCGTGTCGCTCCGCTCTCTTGTCGCGTGCTCTGCCGTCGGCGCTCTTGCGTCATGCGCTTACGTGGCGTTCTCCCTCCAACGTCAACTGCTTTTAATGGCACCGATCAGCATATACTTTGCATATAGGCATTCTTGAAGAACCCTTAAACCTATGGGGAAGAAAAGTAATTGCAGGGATTACAAGCTAGCTTGGTTTGAACGAGCTCCGTTCGAATTGAAATCGCCAGAAGAAGGCACAAGAACAAACGGAACTAAATGTAAGTTCCCCCTATGGGTTAGAGCTTTTCGCCAAACTGGTGTTTGGCAGATAAAAACAAATTACCTTCGGTTCTTTGTTACAAAATCCCAGAACTACAAATTAACCTAGGCATGCTTCATGGTCACCGTTTGCGTTCCCTCTGAATATTTATACCTCAACACCTCATAACCTTACATCTTCCCTTCATTAAACTGACAATATTCAAATACGTAAACGGCTACTGTACGCTCAAGGAGATTATGAGCTCAACACTTACCGTACAGTCATTGCAAAACAGAAAAAAAAAAAAAAAAAAGAAGAGCGAGGTGCTGGCCCTTTTCAGCCTGAAGGAACTTCTATCGGAATTTGGTGGTAATTCTACGGCGAAATTACCATCACTATTTCTGCCGTGGTATTATTTTCACTCTTGGCTATACAAAAGGTGACAGTCGCCGTTTAGATAGTAGAGTAGGTAGACACTTGTATTGCTGTTCTTCATAAACGAAGAGCCGCCAGTGATCCAGTGGAAATAAGAGCACGCAAAAGTGAGGACTGTCATTTTCAGTATGAAATAATCTTTCTGCATGTTTTTTTTTTGTTTTTTTTTTCAATCAACTGAGGTCGTCTTTGACTGTAACATAATATTTGAATTGAGGCTGCAGTGCCAGTGAATTAGTAAAAAGTCAACCTTAAAAATAAAATTGGAATAGTTTCAATCAAATTACTAAACAAATTACTAAGCGGAAAATACCCAGCTCCTGCGAATTTACGATTATTCGCCGCGATGTCTCGAATTACAATCAAGGGGGGGGGGGGGGCATTCTTTTCCCACGAGAGATCACCCTAAAGATAGCGCCATTGACGTTATAACACAGAGATAAAGTTGGCCATGATGAATAAAAGAAGATGAAGCGGACTCTAGCTTTCAACACTCCATGCACCTCCGCTATAAGGCACTCTATGTATCGCTTGTTCCTTGTCCAGTTCTTTATATATATATATATATTTTTTTGCCACGACTGTGCAATAAACACGATTTTTAACATTTCTGCAAGAGAGAAATCCTTTTCGTATATAGTTGCTCTGCAGTTAGCGTTTCGTGCAACACATGCGTAAAAAGCGACAAGATGAGAGCCGGAGCTGTTCTGTCTTCAAAACTATATACTGTAAGGAGACTGAGACTCGGTGACCAATATTAAGAATATTTATATTCGAACTTGTCTACAGTGCCCGGTCGAGCCACGCGACTCATTTGAGATGATGATGGTGACGCGCGACGACGACGATTAAGACGCAGTCATAAAATACACAAAATACTATATTTTTTTACCACCGAAAATCGATTCCCATACATGCCAAGCATCTTCTGATTCCCACATGCACCTCCCCTACACGTTAAGGGAATGCAAAATTTTAATGCAGAATTAGGAATACATTCCACCCGCAACATCAATCGATGCTCCAGTCATGAAACTGCTCTTTGGGCTCAGCATGAACAAACTCGTTTCAGATATTTCTATCGGCTCCGCCTTGCGCTGCATGGGTATGTCGATCATTATTCGATTTCGGATAAGTTCAGGTGGATATTGTGAAATCATTGGTGTATCGGTGAGAGCGGGCAGGATCGCATTCAACCGTATTCCCTTGGTCCCGAGCTCCCGAGCCACAGACTTGGTGAAGGCAAGAACGGCGCCTTTGGATGCCGCGTACGCGGCAACTCCCGGTAGTCCGCCTTTGCCGCCAATGCTCGCAATATTCACGATGGCGCCATCTGTCACGTTGTTAGCCAGCATGAACTTGACCGATTCCCGTGTTACGAGGAACGTTCCCTGCAATGAAATTCGTCTCCTTATAATCATGGGCATTCACAATGTGTCTCTCTCCAGACGCAACTATTCACGTAAAAATCCCACTATGCTCCAACCGGACTATAGAGTTTTGAATAACTATATATTCCTTCGAAAACACAATTTCCCTTCTGAAAAAAAGAATATATTTTGCCTTAAATAACAACATTATTTTCTTATATATTTCAACAACAGAACACAGTCGATTATATATTTCACCATTTGATATTTGTTTATATGGTCCAAATAACGGATATTTATCTCGTCTTAGTGACCACGAATTTGCTCAGGATATTGTTCAGGTCGTGTCATCTTCCCGTTAAACAATAATGGTAACATATGAAAATAGCATAAAAGGGCGGTATCCCAGGTAGAGTTCTTAGGGCGAAAAACGTTTTTTGTCTTGAAATGCAGCTCCTCAAAAAGGCAGTAGAAGTCATGGTGCAGTCTAAACTGCTTTTGCCAGAGACGAGTTATATCGACTTTAATTCCCCAAATAAGTGTCCATGTTAGGCTTAAGTGCTGTGTGTTTGACGTTTATCTGGCACATTTGGGCCTAAATTGCCAAACCAAGTGTCAGAGTTAGGCATCACTTCTGGTTGTTCGGTTTTCATATAGAAACTTTGGGACTAAATTACCTCCAAACATTCCTTGATTTAAGCTTCGCTACTCGTGTTTCACTTTATATGTGGCATTTTTGGCACAAGTTTGGCACTTAAGCAATTATATGGCGAGCAAAAGGGAAACCATAGAAACAAAAAGGAGAGGTTCTCCGGCACTATATCTAACGCCTTGGAGAAATGTCGCGTTAGGGCCAAATTAGGCCCCTGGGATTGCCAAGCTTGTGCCAAGTTCGGCGTTTCACTGGTATGTTACCCGAATAGGTATAATTGACGTGTGACTTACTCTTAGGTTGGTAGCGACTATATTGTCAAATACGTCGTCGCTAGTCCTGTCCACTGGCGTCGGCGTCTGCAGAATACCGGCGCTGTTGACCACGAGACTGAGATTCGTTTCCGGGAACGCAGATCTGATATCTTTGAAGAGGGTCTCTACATCGGCCGATCGCCGAACATCGGCATACATTCCCTTGTGACCAGAGTCCATGATATCTGTGAATCAAAAGAAAATAGAAGAATGAATTTTATAAATACCACATACATTACTTACACAATTTTATCATAATAACCAAACGAATGCCGTGAAAAGAAATGGGACGCCAAGAGTACCAATTTTTAGAGAAACCACCTTTAAAATATTTGTTTCGAACCCGCGAGTAATTTTTGAATGGCAGCCAATGTGATATACGCAAAGGTAACTAGTAGCAGATGACAAGATACTAACATGTTCGACTAAAATTTCAGCTTTATACGAAAGTGCGACCTATACTTTGCTTATAACTGTGAGATTAGATGTCATTTAGAGTTTCCGTGCCCTTTGTTTTAGAGCAAAAGCATAAACATTTTGGTCCTTTTCTGTATAATCATTAAATCAAGAAATCAATAATCCTTCGCTCGTATGGTATGCCACTCAAAGAATTTGTAAGCCTTTATAAGAATGCATTTTTCGTTTGAACTGGTGTGTAAGAATATGCAAACAAACCTTGCAGCATTTTGATGGTTTCTTTAGTGCCTGTCATATTAATGTCGGCGACGATGACTGTCGCTCCTTCACGAGCCAGCACTTTGGCGACACTCTGGCCAATGCCGCTCGCTCCACCGGTGACAAGTGCTAGCCGACGGCCAAGTTGTAAGGAGGAAGAACCTTCATGCCGATGTACGTGATCACTGCCAACACCTGAAGATTCCCCCGTGGAGGAGACAGAGTACATTGTGGCAAATTTCTAGTAATCCTCAAGAGAACACGAACCGAAGTGCCGAGAATAGTCCGCCTATAAAAACGTCGCTTACATTCTCGTCCATATTTAGCGCAGACGCGATTAAAACACGGCAGAATATTATCTTGTTTTGCCAGACCTTAAGATTGCAGTCTAGCCAAGATAAAAAGCTCACGTTATCTTTGCAATGTCGTCATTTGCTGATATGCGAGGCAATTCTTGGCAGCTGGAGTTTCGCGGGTAATATTCAACTCCCGATAAGCGCCCCTTATTCGAAAGGTGAAGTCATAGGAAGTTTATAGCATCAATACGAAAATACCCCGTCCACGCGTCAACCAATTTTCGCATAAATTCGGATGACTGCTTTAATGCATATTTACCGCCCTTATCATTTCAGCGAAAAATGCTGAGCAACATTCGCGATGTCTGATATTGTCACCTGCGTGGCGAAGTGCATAACATGCTGCTCCCACGCCATAGGCCGCCGCAGGGTTCGAATAGCGGCCTATATAAAAATTGGCTTACTATTTCAGCAATGTTTCTTTTTTGTTTAGCACGTTTTCAGGCAAAACAGGAATTATGAGGACTAATTACTGCTTTGCCTGAAAACATGCTAAACACGCAACAAACATCGCTGAAATAGTAAGCCAAATAATGGACTGAAATAAATATTTTTCGCCAAGGAGTGGAATCTAAACTTTTGATCCTCACCGTGTTATTCAAGTTGAAAGCCTTTAATGGGGGTAATAAAAAAGTGACACCAGCGGAAGGCAGAGTCTCACTTTTTGGAGTGTAGAATTTGGTCCCAACTAATTAGAAGCAGTTTCATAATATCAAATTAATTCTTTAGTAGCTAGCTCTAGCACCTGCGCAGCAGAGCGAAACAAGTGCTCGGCATAGTCAATTTTGAGAGTGCCCGCTCGACGTGCAAGTATGCCTTCCACTGGCGTCACGGCAGTGAAAAACGCAGGTATATTTGAATATAGCTTTTGGCATCGTTTGCACCTTGCCTTTTTCACAATAAACATCCTGAATTTCGCGATACTATATAGCATACAAGAAATGGTAAACGGCAGGTGATTCTAAAAATATAGTAGGGGTAGCTGAAAAAATCGCCGTAGTAACCCTCTAAACTGGCAGCTCTATAGGGCCACCCAAAACCAGGAGCCGCATAAGCCCGAAATGCGTAAATCGTTCAATTCAAAAGAGTTTTCAAATAAACAAAAATAAAAAATAAAAAGGGCAATTCGTGCAGGGATAGAATATTGGTCACCGGCGTGAAAGCAGGTCTGCTGTTGACTGAGTTGCGGACCCACACTCTCAAAAAAAATTTTGTGCGTCTACTTTCATGCACAACACTCGGAGAGCCAATCACTGCAACTGACGGAGGCAGCTCAGCGAATGACAATGCCGAAACATATGTTTAGACCAAAAAACGCAGTATGAGTTGTGACACTAAGCAATGCAAAACGTCACGCTTGCGTTGCTTAATGTCACAGCTCAGACTGCGTTTTTTGGTCTAAACATATGTTTCGGCATTGTCATTCGCTGAGCTGCCTCCGTAAGTTGCGGTGATTGGCTCTCCGAGTGTTGTGCGGGAAAGCAGACTCACGGGCTTTTTTTAGAGTGCAGCACGTTGGAACGGGAGGGGCAGAAGCTTGTGATGTGAGAAAGCGCGCGGAGTGGAGAGGGGCGGAGAGGATAAGACAGAGAGGGAAAGAAACGTGTAGTGTAGAAAGTGCGCGCGGAACGAGAAAAAGTCGAAAGGGCAAAAAATAGTCGCCCCTTTCTTGGCGACCCGGAAATATCAGCAAAATGGCTTTGTATGCGGGTGGTGCTAGAGTTCCTGTACAGCTACCTACGGTAGCAGAGTTGCGCATTCAGCCTCGGCGCGTGGCCGTAGCGCCGGCTTTCCCGCACGAGCTGGATGCTTTGCTCCTCACGTGACTAAATTTGGCGAATAGCGGCGCCGCGCATGGAAAACAGGAGAGGAGGATAAGGAGGTGGAAAGCAGGGAAACATACGCCGGGGCAAGAGAAACGTCGGCGGAGCGACCGTAAAGGTGGCTTTCTTGCACGCCACCGGATGTTTTGCTCCTCACGTGATGGATCTCGGCGGATAGCGGCGTGGCGGCGCGGGGAAAACAAATGCGCAACTCTGGCTCCCGTAGGGAGCCTATACAGGAACTCTAGGTGGTGTTGAATAGAAGCGCGCGCAGCGTCACAAAGAGACAATGGTATTGCGCATTTGGTTTTCACATAAAACCCAGCTCTAAGCACCACCTAAACTTAGGACACCACCCACCCATGGCACTAAAAGAATGAGGGTGATCCTGATCTATGCACCACCCGAACTAAGAGCACCCCCGACACTCTAAAGCTACTGCATTTCAACTCGTTTGGAAGATTTACAAAACATGAAGACGATTCTTAATTCTACCCTCCTTTTGTTTTAAGGAACACTCCAAATGCTTCTCCGCAGGATGATTCCTGGTTAGCCCATGCAATGATATTTTGGGTGATATTTTTATGTCTAGAAGAAAAAAAATATATATATTTAAGCCGTATCCTCGGAAGGAATTCCGCTATATTGTCACGGGTGGTGACCAATAAACAAAAAATAAACAGGAGTAAATAAACGTTTAATTTGGCGAACTTGTGCCAAAAATAAAAGGGTACGAAAGATAATAAGAGAGCGTCGCGGGCGTCGAAGTCGGCGTAACAGCAGAGTCGAACGCTGGGGCGAAACTGATTCCGCTCGCCTTGCGGAACCCCTTATGTACCCTCGTGGGTTTCTGGATCGTTCGGCGTAGAAGGTTCGGTGTGTAGAACATTCTAATCTCGAATCAGCAAGACGGTTCTCGAATTCACTAGAACATCAATTTACACCGTCAACAAAAATGTGCAGTCGCGGCCAGGAATCGAACCCTGGCCTTCTGCGTGGGAGGCAAGCGCGATAACCGTTAAGCCACGCTCGCGCTGCCTCCTTGGCCAGCTGCGCGCGCGGCAATATTAACGCCGTAGGTAATTGTTTTCCCACATATACTAAATTTATAAACATTAGACGCTAAATATGTCAATATTTCACATGATACACTGCACCATCCTTAATTTTTCTAAACATCACTTGCTGTGTTCTAATTTTTTTGTTTAATATACAAACGTTCCTCAAAACGCGCAGAAAAGATGAATAATCTACGTTGCAAATCGATATCAACAATATTTTATAAATAAAAAATATTATTAGTCTAATTTAAACATGAATACACAAATTATTTTATTGAAGAAGTTTTTTAACCACTTAATAACCGATACCAAAAGGTGTATAGCTACATAGAGCTCGCAGTGATATAAATGTAGTTCTATACCATTGCCGTTTCTGTGTTAGTGATGAAATCCATCTGATGTCCAAAAATGTGTCGTAATTGCGCGTAAATATATATATATATATATATATATATATATATATATATATATATATATATTCTTAAAAAGTTGTAACCTATTATCAATGGGTGTACTAAGTCTTGAGATGAAAATATTGAGTCACATTTAAATAAGAAACAAGAAAAACAATATCAACACTCGCCTAAAAATGAGCCGACTTCTCTCCGTTATAAGTGTTTTACTGCACATCGACTCCCCCAAGGATGAAGGCCCGTTCACACTCTTGCGACCGAGTAAGAGACCGAGAGAGACCAGACCGGTTTTTAAGCCCCTTGCGACACCTTAGGACCAACATTGCTGCATCGCATCCGGTCCTAAAAAGTCGCAAGAGGCTTAAAAACCGGTCTGGTCTCTCTCGGTCGTACTCGGTCGCAAGGGTGTGAACGGGCCTTTAGGCATCTGGAAGCGACTGAGTCAAACAGGCACATTATTACCATAGGCAGTTGAACACCATGCTTATTGCTATCCATAGCTTAGCTTTAGTTTTGTGCTTTATTCCTTCCCCTCCCCCTTTTCTCTTTCTTCTTTCACCCGTAATCAAGGACGATGTATGGATTTCGTGCCCGCGGTGCTTTGTCCTCGCCGATCCTCGTTACCCGACGCCCTGCTGAAATACATCGTTTGACCTTAAGTTGGCTTGCAGCGGGCCCTAAAAGTTATATCAGCCAGTTCAGCGTGTTGATTGTCTCCTCAGTTAGCGCCAGAAGCGATGCCATAAGATTACTGACACTCACCCGTTGGCTCCGATGGCCCTTATCGTCCACTGCGGTTCATCGTACGACAAGACGGAGTCTGAACAGTAGGTGTACCTTCGTCGTCCACTTGCGTGTGTGCATGCGAGCGTCTGCGGACGCCACTAGACGACTCAAATAAGTTTTAAAACAAGTCCGAGCGCGGAGTGCTCGGACTTGTTTTAAGAAAAAAAAATAGATTCTTTCTCCGTTGATGAAGATTCTTATACTAATGAACAAGTGTTTATTTAAAGGATATGCGATAAACTCTTTAGCAATTGATATGGACAATTCGTCAATTAACGTTAGGGGGGGGGGGGGGGGGACACTACCTAACTTCTGGCGACTTCCCCTGCCGTCCTCCTCGGCCAAATCTTCAGCGGGTGCCCCGGCCACAGCCAAACTCGACAAATAAGGATCCACACAAGGCCGGCCAGCCGAGGTCCTTCACAGCCGACAGTGGTCCCAAATTTGCGAGCTAGCGGGCAGAAAACTCCATAGCCGATGGGGGTCTTACGAACAGGCTGGCCTCCAGAGGCAGGGTGGTTTTCACGGCATTGCACCCGGGCGCCGACCTCTTTGCTTGAAGAGGCGGGGGTGGGGGGGGGGTTGTTTAAATAGAGAGGAAGGCAAAATCTGGACTGGCTCAAGGGGAGTGGCCTCTGGCAGCTACTTATATTGGGTTTAGCAGAATTCCGGAGCCCTCCAGCCAACCAATCCCGGAGGGTTCTGTTAGCACCAATCAAGAAGGTCGGAGCCCAAAGCTAACATGAGCATGCCAAAGGAAGCACTTACGCAACACAAAACACATATAGAACGAAGTTCACAAGATCAGTGAACCAAGACAAAAGCACGTACAAGGGTTCAATCACAAGGCCAGGCGCGTACACGGAAAGTCAGTAACTAA